ACTTGACCATGCCAGGGTTCCAACAAACTGACAGGGAACACGTCGTGAACTCGCGAATATTGCTGAGGCAAAGCTAAACGGTACGCTAGCGAACCAACACGTTCCAACACCCGAAAAGGTCCGATGAACTTGGGCGTCAACTTATGAGGGGTCTTCAACTTCAAGTTGCGAGTGGACAGCAGAACTAGCTGCCCCTTGCTGAAAGCTTGGGGTTGGTGTCTTTTGTCGTAGTATCGCTTGTGATTCGCTACCGCTTCGGCCCAATGCTGTTCCAACTGCGTTCTCAACACTTGCAACTTCTCAATCCTCTCTGCTGCGTTGGGGTGTAGCTGTTGTAGCTGTTTCCCCCTCTCTGAAGCATCGCCCTCGATGCGCTGGGAGATCGTCGGGTGGTACCCCATTAATGCGAAGAAAGGGGTCATGTTCGTTGTGGCGTTGAGGCTATTGTTGCAAACGAACTCGGCTTCTGGAAGAATGGTTGCCCAGATTTGAGGGTTCTGATGGGCGTAGCAACGGAGGTACTGATCCAATGTCTGGTTCATACGTTCGGTTTGCCCATCGGTTTGCGGGTGAAATGCCGTTGAGAGCTTCCGATGTACCTGGTTTAAGTAGCATAAATCACTCCAGAATTGGGAGGTGAAGACTGAACCTCGGTCACTGACGCAGCCATCTGGTACGCCATATTTGAGCTCGATCTCCTTATGGACGAGCTCTGCGAGCTCCTGGCTTTTAATGCTCGAAGAGACAGCGAAGAAACGGCACATCTTGGTATATCTATCCACGATAACGAGGACAGAGTCTCGTTCAGTGCCGTCGACTATCACCGCGGGAAAACCAACGATGAAGTCCATGCTGATCTCACTCCAGGGTCGCTGAGGAATCGGCAGAGATTCAAGACTGCCGTAAGGACGATGTCGTTTTGACTTATTTTGCTGGCAAACTGCACATTCTTTGCAGTGGTCTTTGACGCTTTTGGTGATGCCCAACCAATAGTACTTCCTTTGAAGGAGTTCAAGCGTCTTCTGAGGGCCAAAGTGACCCGCCAGCGGATCGTCATGATAACGACAGAGCAACTCTTGTTTGAGTGCTTCTTCAGCAGGCACAAATAGTTTGCCTCTGAACAATAATTCGCCGTCTTGTCCGAGAGACCAACCCGCAGATTCGCTGGGTTCTCGCCTGGGATTCTTCAGGCGTTCTTTGATCTTGTGTGTCACTGGATCTGTCTCTTGAATCTCAAAAATGAGCTCACGCATGGACTTTGATGGGTCCAGCGTATAAACTGCTTCAAGCTCCGCCATCTTTTCGGCGCGCTTTCGAGACAGAATTGGCTTCTTTTGCCAACTTGTTCTGACCATGCCGCGGGAATTCATTGCTTCCACTTTTAACGACTGGACAGTGACCACTGGACGATTTGAGCCCGAATTAGCGGCGTCCCGCTTGCAGACTTCCTCTGCATTCTCCAGCTTGTTCTGGAGACTGGGCATCCATTTCAAGCGCTCTTCTTGCGCATCGTCCTCATAATCAGGTCTTCTCGACGGCCCATCGGCTGGGTTTCGTTTGCCCGGCTGATGTTTGATGATGAAGTCAAACCCTGAAAGGTACATGCACCACCTGGCTTGTCTGCCATTCAAGTGGTTTTGCTTCATGAAACCCTGGAGATTATTGTGGTCCGAAAGGACAGTGACTTGGTGGCGATTTCCCTCAATGTAGTGGCGCCAATGCTTGAAGGCTTCCACGATCGCCATCATCTCCTTGTCAGGGGTTCCATAGTTCTTAGTCGACCCAGAGAACTTAGCCGACCAGAATGCCACAGGGTGCTTCTTGCCATCCTCGCTTTTTTGCGAGAGTACTGCTCCCATTGCAAAATCGGAAGCATCTGTCTCAATGACCACCGGCTTCTCGGGGTCGAAATGGCGTAGTAAAGGAGCGTCTCGGTATGCGTTTTTGAGTTGCTGGAAAGCCGCTAGTGTTTCGCCTTCGAGTTGGACCTCTCCTGGTTTTCTTCCCTTCTCTAGCCCCTTTAGCAAACTGGTCAGGGGTAAGGCAATGTGGGAGTAATTGTGGATGAATCGTCGGTAAAAATTGCAGAAACCCAAGAAAATCTGGATCTCGCGAAAAGTTCGAGGTTCCGGCCAATCTTCAATGGTCTGAATTCGCTCAGGATCCATAGCGATTCCCTCGCGATTCACCACGTAACCGAGGAAGTCCACTTGGTCCTTATAAAAGGAGCACTTAGAAGGCTTGCAGTAGAGCTGCGCTGCCCGAAGCCTGGCGAATACCTGGCGAAGATGTTGGGTATGACTGTCTCGGTCCTTGGAAAAGATCAAGATATCGTCCAGGTACGCGATATAAAACTCATCCAATAAGCCCCCCAAGGCTTGATGAATATAACTCTGAAAAGTGGCTGGAGCGTTGGTCAACCCAAAAGGCATAACCAAATACTCAAACAAGCCGTATCGGGTTCGAAACGCTGTCTTCCATTCGTCCCCTTCCTTGATTCGGATCCTGTAATAGGCGTCCTTGACGTCTAACTTTGAGAAATAATTCGCACCAGCAGCGCGGTCAAGGATCTCCGAAATCAGGGGTAAAGGGTAGCGATTCTTCACCGTGATTTTGTTGAGTCCCCGGTAATCTACACATAAGCGCAGAGAACCGTCTTTCTTAGGAACAAATAAGATGGGGCTTGCCGCTGAACTCTGAGAAGGTCTTATACGGCCTTTCGCCAGGTTCTCGATAAGATATTCGCGAAGAATAGACAGCTCATGTTGAGACATTGGGTAAATGGGGCCAACAGGAGGTGTAGTTCCTGGTTGAAGTACAATCTCATGATCCGTGTTTTTAAACGACGGCAAAATGTCAGAATTGCAGATATCCAACACATCCTTAAAATCAGATAACTCCGGAGGAATCTCTTCGCCTCCCTTTTTACAGGGTTTCGCCTCCTCTTCATCAGGAAACAACTCAGTAGGCACGTCTGGATGAACAAACAGAGCGTAAACTCGTGCCTCCTTTCGACAGATTTTGTTGAATTTCTTGGGGGTAAGCAGGCGAACTTTCGCCGACTCGGCAATGAACCACCAACTGTTCAATCCAGGGTAGAGGAGGATGTCCAGCATCTTCAAAGCTGGAATACCCAGTAACACAGGAGACTCGCCCTCAATCTCAGGCCGCTCCACTGCAACACATGGGATTTTGGCTTCCTTCGTAATCCCCTGGTGATCAGTAAGAGACAATGGAACTTCAAAGACTCCGTAAATGATCGCATAACGCTGATCCATGAAGCGAATCAATGGCGAATCGGCACTGAGCCACTTGAGCTCGTGCCTTCGCACGAAATCAATGCTCACAACATTGGTCTCTCCGCAGCTGTCAAGGTCAACGTGAATAGGGGTAATACAATGCGTAAGGAGAGATGCTTCTGCGTGGAGTCTTTCTTCAACAAGACTCTCTTCTTCGAATGCCCCTGAAAGGAGTTCATCCGTGGTAAGGGGCTCTCCCACGGTTAATGGCCGTTTCCCTGTCGACTCGCCCGGCGTCCTCGGTACCCGCCCCGGTTGTACCCGCGGTACTGGGATACCGATTTGCCTTTGTCTGGGCACACATTCGCTAGGTGTTCGGTACTGTTGCAGATGTAGCACCGCAAGATGTGGCCTGTCTGTGGAGAATGGTCTGGACTGTCATGCTTCTTGGCAATATCCACAGACTTAGTGTCGTCATGAGTGTCGTCATGAGTGTCGTCATGAGTGTCGTCGTCATGTCTGCGTTTGCCACGACCGAAAGAGGGGTAATGACATCCTCGACTTCGAAAACGTTGACGATGCTCTCCCGAGTGCTGGGTGTCTGAAAATGGGTTCCCTTTCTTCATATGCTGAAAACTGTGCCAGATTTGAGTGGCGATTTTGACCATTCCTTCACGGTCCTCAGGTCGGTTGGGAACGTAGAGATCGATATGGTGGATAATCGCTGGTGAAAGCTTGGAGTAGAAGTCGAGAGCTCGTTGCTTGTCGTCCTTACGTGGAAACTGATCTTCCAGAGACTCAAGATATTGGTGGAACTCAAGGGGTGACTGGCCGTCTTTTTGGCGAGCGTTGTTGAGTTGCTTGGCCGCTGTTGATATCTGGTCGGCAAGGTCCTTGACGCACTCCTTGGTCCATTCCTCGAAGTGATTCCAATCGTTTTCGGCCTCGACGCGCTTGTCGTTCGACAAATTGCCGCAATGGCTGTACCAGCGGTTTCGTTGCTGCTCGTCCATGTTGTCGAGGGCAAAGAGTATCTTGTTGGCGTCGTTGTTGAACCGCCTGCGGTCACCCACAAAAGCGCGTTGAAGGTCCTGAAGCCATTCTTTTCGTCGACGAAACGTCATGGGTTCGCTGAACTGGATGAGGTTTTTCACCTTGATGGCTTTGCTGTGGCCCGTGGAATCCGATGAAGACGAAGAAGATCGAGGTCGTTTCGCTGGCATTTCGTCAGAATCGAGGCCCAACTGCCGAAGGATCTCCTTCTCTTGTTGTCTCAACTGTCGGATCCGTTCCAGGCTCTGAACACGGGCTTCGGTGGCCTGTAGCAACGCCTCCGGATCGTAAGGCTGAAGTGGTTCATGATGTGATAAGGTTCTTGAAGGTGGTGTTCGTTGACTTGACGTCCCTGACTGGTGTAACCGCACTGGGTTCTCTGGGGCTGAGCCTTCTGCAGGTGGCTCACTAGCCACTCGACTCTGGATCGGCGACATCTCGGTTGGTGTTTGGGTGGAAGGATCAGAAATTGTAAGGTGACACACACAAGCTCACCAAGGAAGATGCACCGAATCCTCAACAAGCAGCAGGCAAGACGACTGTATTGTGCGTGCACCCCTAACCAACTGACTGATCCTTGAGAGAGGGAAGTTCCAAGTTCCAATCTGAGTCTCCTGCTCTCCAGATATCCTCTCTCTGCTGCGAGTCATGTCGCTGCGCCATGAAATCCACAGTGTCTCGCCCGCCGATTGCCCAAGTGTAGGGCTCATGGTGGGGGCCCTGACACCCGATGTGCCGGCTACCGTCAGGGAAGAGGATGAAGCATATGGCATCGCGTGCGAGGTCGCTACAATGGAGTTCGTGAGGCAAAGGCTGTCTGCAATTCCTATCCCTCGCCTATACGCATACGAGGGCCCCGGGTCTCAGCTCGCTGCTGACGTCGGGGCTGCCTATATGCTTCTGGAAGGCTTCTGTGGAAATACCCTGCAAGATGTCGAATTCGATATTTGTAACTTGCCAGTAAGTCATATACTATCTCCGGAGCCGATCTCACTTCTATCGCATCTCCTACTTTGCATTGTGCCGCCGCTACGCATCTTGAATGGGAAATCCACTGACTTGGTTCAGGTTGCAACACAAGAACACATCATGATGCAGTGGACAAGGGTTCAAGCGGAACTAGCCACTCTTGCTTATCCTCAAATAGGCTCTATCTGCTCTATTTCCCCGTCGGGAGAACCAGTTTTAGGCAGTTTAGCGGCTTCTTCTGCCGGAGAGCTCAGTGATGCGGGACCATTCTCTAGAGCAGTTGAGTACTTCACTGCCGTTGCAAATGCCGCGGCCGGCAAGCTGGATCAATCCACTAGGCTGGGTGCCTTGGTCTTTCGCGACATTGTGGACAAGACTACCTTGTTCGGAGACACCGACACCGTTGAGCAATTCCCTCTCAACCATATGGATCTCGGCACTCAGAACATCATCGTCGATGATAAATTCAATTTTATTGCCATTATCGACTGGGAGTTCGCGCAGACTGCCCCATGGCAGGTCAACCGCTACCCTATGCCGTTTCCTTTACTAGGATCAGACACCGAGGACATTCTCAGAGATCCTAGCCATCTCGCCTACAAGAATGTGTCACGGCAAGACGTTTCTCGACGAATCTACCGCCAGAAGTTCCAAGAGGCTGAGAGGGAACTTAAGGAGGAGGGCCGAGCTCTTGAAGGGTCCTTTGCAGACGCTTTGAATAGTTCAGCATCAAGGATATATGCTTGCTTCACTAGCCTAGGTCGTTTACAGCAGGCTGATAGGGGCCTCCTGTGTGAGATGGTGCGCCTTGCGTTCGGGTTGGATGCAGACAAAGTGGAGGAGTATCTCTGGGAGCTAGAGCAGGGTGGCGAGGTAGGTGGGAGCGGGTAGGGCAGACTGTACATTGAAGTTAGTCCCGGGGACCTGGATGGCGAGATGATCACTCCTGCGGAGCTTGCCGATCAAGTCACAAATCATTGGATGTTGATGCGACCTGAGAAGTGGAACCGAGTGCCTGATCCGTTTTCGGCCTTGCCCCACCCAGGTTTTCTCGTGATGGTACTGCTTTGCCAGAGATGGCAAAGAGGGTTGCACGTGCTTGTCACCACTGCTGGGCGGCGAGGTGGCCGAGTGACTGGAATGTTAAACGCGGTTCACGTTTCTCGGGAATCGTTGGTTACAATAAAGTTGGTTACTGTCAACGACAGTTCTGTCAAGGTTCTTGAGGGGCCGCCCCACGCCGGCCTCGGAATCATTGCATGGTGCGGGACGGGCCGCGGCGTCGGGCCTCTCAAAGTGGAGAGTGGGGTGGAAAAGGCATTGCACCTTGGCTCGTCGTTCCACCCGATCAGAAGACTTGTTGCTAATGATCCCGATATGTCCGTGGTGCGCTGGGTTCACGAGTACCGTTGAATGACTTGCGCCGTTTGTCTCACAATGAAGAGGGAAGTACTTTACTGCCATTCGCCAGCAGTTGTCCTGCTGCCCCGGCCTCCATGTCGTAGATCGCTCTTTGACTTTTTCGGATTTCAAGCTGCCCGACCTCGCCGTCGTCGGCCTTTCTTCGACATTGTTCCCTTTAGCGTCTCTGTGACTTCCGTGTCAGAGGGCACTGGGGGATTTGCTTGGCTTTGCATCTCCTTAAACAACTTCTCAGTCCAGTCGAAGACATGGTCATATGTGAAACCCTCCGCTCGAAACCGGCGATAGAAAAGCCGGCGAAGGTACAAGTAGTCCGGCTTATCATCGAAAGCCAGGCCCCGGATGTAGTTGATGTACGTGGCAAATTCTCCAGGGAGAAAGCCATCGCAGAGCGCCTCGGTGGACAGGCTCTCCTTCATCTCCTTGATCCTTGCATCCTTCTCGTCGTCTGTACCAACCTTTAGACCCTGCCATGGCAACGAGCCCCGGGTAAGTACACGAAAATATACCCAATGGACTCCAGGTCGTCCCCCCAAGACTGTTCTTCGTGCGCGTTAGCGTGCGGACGATTAGTATCGCGATAAGACACCTACCACGGCCGTTGTGGTTGTTGATGCTTGCGTACCGTCTGGTGCCACCCAGCGGGAGACCCTCCACATTCTTGCGACGCTCGGCATCGGAAAACTCCTTGGCGAGGCCAAAATCAATCGTGTACAGTGTGTTCCCCTGCCTGCCGACCCCCCTACATTGTGCATCCGAAGGGATGGGAGGCCTGGGGGAGGTGCTTAATGATTGGCTTGATGCCGCCTCTTTTGACCAACCATCCATTCTCCCCATGTCTTGGCAGAGCGATGGAGACACGAGCCATCCACCAGAAGGCCGGTGGCGCCAAGACCAGGATCCCACCGGGGGATTGAAAACTGTGGGACTCGCAATGACTATGGCGCTTAACGATTGGTCGGCACTAGTGGATCCCATTCCTGCACGCTCGCAGCCATCCATTCCCTCACACGTCACTCCATCTCGAGACTTTCTTCCCCGGACACATAACCAGGACCTCGCTCTCCTCCCCATTCTCATCGCCATGGCCCACACTCGAGCCCAAACAGCGGAGCAAAGGACGCTCCCATCGCCGGCGTCAAATTATCAAGGTACTTATTCTTCGCAGCGCCAAACGACATCACCCGCTGACGCTTGCAGCAAATCGACCCCAGGGCATACGGCCGCGCAAAGGCAGTTCGCGAAAGCGCGCAAGCAGGCGCGCCGAACGCAATAGTCTACGTTCAACTACACCCAGCGAGACACCGACCCCACAAGTATGCCCTCTATCCTTTGTATTATATAGTTACAAACTAAGTTAGGTCATGGGATCCATAGGAACAACCGGCGCCTGTCCAGAGCCGAGGTCGCAAGCGCAAGCACTCAACCCGACACGCACTCGGAGGGGACTCAGTCCTAGACCCAGACCCAGACCCAAAGCGACATCGGACATTTCCCCCACGCCCCACAGAAGACGCATCTGGCGAGCCAGCGATTGGCAGCGGCGCCCATAAACACACTGACCCAGTTGCTTTCTGGGTGAAGGAAGGGCGCTGGCCAGAGGAGCAGGACTGGCCGGAAGAGACCTCAGAGACGGATTTTACCATGGATCGTCTACCACTTGCGCGAAAGAAATCCTCATCCAATCTGTCCCGGAAGCGATCGAACTCTGCCACATCCACGCCCAGCGACCAGAAGCCGAGGGAGGAGAAGAGCGCGCCATACCGAGACCAGCGTTATGAGACCCTGCTCGAGGTCAAAGGCAGCTACATGACCAAAGCTCCGTTAGGCTTAGCCAGCGCCAGCCAGGCTCTTTGTCGGTCTCTCCTGGAGAAGACGCAGCCAGTTCCCGGCGACACACTTTTCCGTGACGATGTCTTTGAAACGACATGCCAGAAGATACACAACAAAAATGAGGCGCGAGTAATTCAAGACATCAGTCGGCTCATTGTTCCTTCAGCTGAAAGTCTTGCGACATTCGGTGCAAAAAACCTTGACATCCTGACAGAAAGCGTCAACGAAGGGTGGAACAACTCGATCCCTCTCACCAGCACCCGTCCCCAGCCCGACTACTCCGTTGGGTTCAAACGAGACGCATTTACTGAGGACCAGCTCGCCAAGCTGTCGCCATTCATTGGCGACTTCATCGCCGGGGACCAATCCTTCTTCATGGCCACGTACTATATGTACTTCCCGTTCCTAACCTGCGAGGTGAAATGCGGCGCCGCGGCGCTCGACATCGCAGACCGGCAGAACGCCCACAGCATGACCCTTGCGGTGCGGGGCATCGTCGAGCTCTTCCGTGCTGTCAAGCGCGAGAATGAGGTTAATCGGCAGATCCTCGCCTTCTCCGTCTCCCATGACCACCGGTCGGTACGGATCTACGGCCACTACCCGGTGATAACTGGGAAAGACATCAAGTACTACCGGCACCCAATCCATACTTTCGACTTCACCGCGCTCGACGGAAAGGACAAATGGACGGCATATCGTTTCACGAAAAATGTCTACGACACATGGATGCCAAAGCATTTCGAGAACATCTGCTCTGCCATCGATCAGTTGCCGTCGGATTTGGACTTTGATGTCCCGCCGCTTTCTGAGGCGACCGGGCTTTCCCAGGATTTAGGAAACCTGATGCACTCGGGTGCCTGCTCCGCTTCTGCTGGCGAGCACGACAGCCAGTCGATTGTCGCTGAGCAGCGAGCGGTCACTCCAGACACTTCATTCAGTGGGGTAGGGGTAGCAAAGAGGAGGAAAGGCCGGACGGATAGATAGGATTTCCATTAAATGTTTGCGTAATAACTGCTGCCTTGCGACCCCACTCTCATCTCACCTTGCCATGAATGCGTGACCGCACCCCCCCATTCCGCCGAGACCAGGACCCCACCGCGGGATCAGCCGGTTGGTCCCGTGGTGGGTCCGCACCGCCCAAGTCACCGAACATTGTGGTTTGATCATCGTCAAGCAGAGCAGCGCTCCCAACAATCCAATCCATCCAATCCAGGCCTTATAATTGGATTGAATTGAGGCCTTTCTGAATAATTGATTGATTGAAACCCCAGAATTGAATTGAATTGATGAATTGCAATTAAAGTCACATGATCCCGGGTGAGGTTATTCCGAGCCGGCCGAGTCCCTCGGCCCTCTCCAGACATCCAGGTCCCTGATTACAACCCTGCTAAGAAGGACCTCGATTTCGCAGCTAATTCTTTAGGCACTGGAGCTTGGATATTGTATCCTCCTGTGTAGAGTGCCTCTGCATCCCCACGGCCAGTTTCGCAAGGCTGAACGTCCTCTCGCACTCTGTTGACATTGTTCAGCGAGGAATAACCATCAACGATCGTGCTCCAGCACTTGAGACTCACAAAAATGACCCGCTTAGAAATTTTAGACGAGCCAATTGAGGCCTGAACGAACCATAACAATTAGGGGGAACGAATTCAATGCCTCATTACCGCCGTCGAAACCTACCTCACCAGTGTGGGCGCTTGCATCAAAACCTAACATATGTTGCGGTCGGCGGACGCAGGCATTTGAACCCATAGCCTGGCTGAGATCAACATCAGCCTTCCACCTACGGAGCAGGTCGGTACCGAGCGCTGTCCGACATCTAGGAAGTCGTGAGTACTACCCAATGCTAAGCGTCTGCAAACTTCTTGACCCAGTCAACCGATCTGATTTTGATATGTAGTGTAGCTCACGGCAACCGGCCAGGTGCCTTGACGTTATTGGCCGCCCCAATTGCACCCTGATGCCAAATGACTCTGCGAGCTGGTCTGTGGTGGTCGAACGCAGGCTCGCAGCTTGCTCCGCCCTTCGGTACGCCTCCTCTTTGCGACCCTCTTGAATACCATCCAGCCAGTTTCTGACCATCTACTGAACTGGGTCTTGCGTCTCCAAAACCGGTGTTTGGGTAGGATGTTGTGCTAGAGGACTTTTTCCTTACATTGGCCTGCTCGATATGTTGAGATGCAAGTGTGATTACACATTGAACGCTACAAAACTAACTGCAAGACTGTCAGGCAAAGACCGGCGCTACTCGACGAGAGGACTTCGGGAATGACTTGGCTCGGTCGCTCGGCCGAAGTTCGATACCGTGGACGTTCATCACATGAGCCCTGAAATGATCCAAGTTCTTCAGTTTCACCCCCTCCTCTTTGCATTTGGGGTGGTCGCAAAAGATACGATCGCGTTGCTCTTTTTCCTTCAGATCTCTCAAATGCTCGCGGTCGAAGTGGTCATTCATCACCGACGGCCGACAGTATGGGAACACTCTCGTCTCGTATGGCAGCCTCTGGTCCCCGATGCATCGAGGACACTGCGTCTTTTACATGAGAAGCGGGAAGGGGTCCGGCGCAGGAGGCTCCTCCTTCACTGACACCTCAGGCTGCGCGCTCTGCCGGGTAAGTTTGTACCTGGCCGTCTCGCGTTTGTCGCACAGCGCCACCATAAGCTCGGCGACCTGGATGCGGCGTTCGAGTTACGGTTGTGAATTCCGCCGGTTCGACGGCCCTGAGATTTCCGAGGAAAAGGCCCTGCAGTATTCTAAGCTACGAGACGATATGGCACAGGAGTCGCTGGATGCCGGACAGGAGAAGCCTATGCAGCCGAAAGATTTCCGCCGTGGTGCGGCAAACGAAGCAAATGGTGTGTCGTTTTTTTGCTCCGGCGAACGATCTCGCTGACTCCATCCAGGGAACGCGCCGATGCTGTCCGCGACCAGATGTTGCGTCACGACCCCAAGTGGGCCACGTTCAATAGCGTATACATCAACGCCAAGGTGAAATTTCACCTTCAGAATGCAGTCCTGCACGAGCCGCACGAAGATGCGCTTATCGAGATGCTCACGCACATCAGCGTCACGCGCGACCCGCGCGCAGGCCGGGATATTGTCCCTGCCGAAGTCTGGCGGGACCTGCCGCCCGGCGGCTGCAGGGACAGTCCAGGATCGGCCGGCTCGGGCTCGTCACCCTCGCTACACTCGTTATCCGCCTTGGCCTTGGACGACTTGGACATATAGATATGGAGAGTCAAGTAGAAGGAAAATGAGATAGTGCGAGCGAAACACTGTTGAGGGTTTAAGGATTTGATGATTATCTTATGATCCGTTGTTAAAAGCTTCTCTGTTGGCACATATATATAACGAGATCATATGTCAAAGCTCCTAACCCCTTAAGCATATCTCGTACCTCCTCCTTGTCTAGCCATTGGGAATTTTTGTAAAGAGCTTCCACAACGACATCTCTCAGGCCTCTATCATCTTCAAGGGTAGATGTATACACCTCCAGCGTTGCCTTAAGGAAATCATTGATATCCAACAAGTCAGTAGCCGCTGCCTTAAAGTGTCGGAGCGCAACGGCCTTCAGTCCCCGGATCAGATACCTTTCTGCCAAGGCGTAGACATAGGTAACAAGGACATCCCTAGTCGGCTTATCAACGTCGGTCCCATCTCCGTCCGTATCTGATCCGAGGCTGCGATCGTATTGCAACTGTCCGTCATAGTTAAAATGGTACAAATAATATACCATTATATAGACAAGCCGAGGATCATCATCTAGAAGGTCAACCTTTCCTTCTTGTGTCTCCTAAATAGGGGATGTTAGTTAGAGTCGTCGCAAGCATATAGCTGCCACTGACCTTGAAGCCTGCGTGGCAAGCTACAGAGAGGAACTCGCACTACGTGCATACGATGGCCCTATGCACACGGTATTCCTTTCCACCGCAGCATATCACGAGGTCTGGTGTTGTGGCAGGTCTAGCGATGATCTCAACAGAGGTTAGGAGGTAATATTTGGGATGATCAAGTCGTATCCGCACGGCCTCTTTAGCAGCAATGTGGCGAAGAGCTCAGATGCCTGCCCGATGTGACACAGCCCCAAAGCCATAAGTCTATGTTCTAATAGCAAGCGGTTGCGTCCTGGCACAACATGAGGCCAGGCAGTCAGGCAGCTTAACATATCAGTTAGTTCGCGTGGCTTGAAAAGGCACCGCAGTGGTTGCAAGCTGAGACACACTTGCGACCTAGAACGTCGTGGACACTGACTACAGGTACAGTTCTCGGCCCTCCCGCGCCACAGGCGCATCCACACGGAGGGCGTTGGTTCGAATTGGGATCCTTGAATCACGACGTCCGTTTGGCTGGCTCACCGCCACACATTAAGGTTCTCAGACGTAAGGTAGATTTCCGTGTTCCCGTCACCAAGGGGGAATGCTGGCCATCTAGTCGCTAGGATTGCCGAGCTGGCTGGGCTACTGCAGCCAAACATACGCGTCCACTTGGTTGGCTTGCTGGCGGCGTGCGAGCAACCTCCGCGTATGACGCCCTTGGGCTCGTCTGAGTTGTATGAGGAGGGGCTGCGTTGCGTACAAGGGCGTCTATCTGGTCTCGGGCTTGTCTCAGCGCCTCGGAGAGCTGCTGAATCGCGTCTTGCTGTTTGCAGACCACGTCGCGCGTCTTGTTGTTTGCTGACCACGTCGCGCAGCTCGCAGATTGTTTTCCGTTGCTCGTCTCCTTGTTCGTTGATAGCTTCTAAGAGCGTCTGGAGTCCTGTTTTCCCCGCTTCAGCCTGGCCGTTGGCTCCGTTCCCGCTTCCTAGTACGCGTGTTCCTTTCGACGCGGTGCTTCGCGTAGCATGGATTGCGATTCTTCTCGACGTAGTAGCCGCATCCTCCGGTGATTGCATTGCTTCACGGACTTTCGCACTCGGTTTCGGGGCGCGGCTCGGTCGTTTCGGTGAGGGTGGGCAGTCGGCCACCTCGATCACTGCCTCAGGTTGCGCCGCCGCCGCCATCTCGCGGTCCCTTGGCAGGGCGGCTCAACTTATTAAGAAGCCGATTGTCCGTTGGATTCTCGGCACGTTGTCAGCGGGCCAACTCTCAATTCAGGGGTACTAGGGCACGTGCACTCGGTTGGATGGATGGATGTGTTGGAAGACCAACAGCCACGATTCCACGGTGATCACACAGATGATGGGAGCTTACGACAGTGGGTTTGTGATGCTCAGAGCAGCCCAGAAGTCATCAATTGAAGGTTGTTCTTCTCTCACGTCTCCAGCGAAGGGGGAATCGCCCTGACCTCGTTGCTCAGCTCCCTGGTTACCCCTCACGTTGCCTGACGCTCAGTTGGGCAGCCATGCATCCAACAGCAGGGCACTTGCAGCTGAGCACGACCAAGTTTCCAGTGCCACGACTTTCCAACAGGATGGATTTGATTTCGCCCGGAGGCACTAAGCCTAAAGGGCCTTGGCACGCTAAATACATACGATTCGTCCGCTTCTTCCATGACCTCGCACAAGCCCTTTGAGTTGCCCTTTGCGCAAAGCTTCCCAATTCCTTTTGCCTCTTGTCTTGATTGTTAGCAGATCGTCTTGGGGGTTACGTTCTCCAAGTGTTCAGCGTCCCATCTTCAGCAGCTAAAGCGGGATCTGCTGGTTGAGGCTGTGTGCTGTTAGTGAACTCCACTATTGCGACTGAGACAGTCTTCGTTGTTCCTCGTCTGCATCCAATCTCCCCGTCGCCATTGCGTACTTGATCGTTGCCCGGACTGCTTTCATGTCTGGCGACCACATCTTCGGATCCGATCGAACTTTCCCTCCAAGGTAGAATGAGAGGCTCCCTCGTCTTGTCACTGTACATCGCAGCATGTCTTCCCTCAGGGCTGTCCATCTCACGCATCGCAGCAGAAAATGCTCCACTGTTTCCCTCGCTTGGCCGCAGGGGCAGAAGTCTGACTCGACCGCTCCAATCCTGCTCAGAAAGCCGTTCAGCCTCGCCATTCCGGTTCGGAGTTGTGCCAAGATACAGGCCTCTCTTCGCTTCAGCTTATCATAGAGGTCGCGAGTGTGCTTGCCAGGTAGTGCCACGTCCATAGCCTTTGAGAACTTGCCCACGCCTTCAGGAAGAGCTCTCTCCTGTCGCTGTTTCGCCAGTGCCAGCCTGATTGCGGTGGACTTGGCCTGGGGCATTTGGAGGTTGGGTGTGCCTCCTTGCCTTGCAGCCCTTTGCGCCGCCGCCTTGGCCTCCAGTACCAACGCGAAGTTGGCTTCCGCTGGTATCCACAGGAAGTCAACCGAGTTCCCTCTCCGTCGATGCAGCCTTGCCAACTCGTATATTTGCCGTATGATGCTCTGGCCGGACTGTTGTCGTGGTTGTCTGATCGCTGCCAGCGCCGACTGGTTCCTGGTCACGATGGTGATGTGCCTGTGGCAAACGCCGGCCGGCAGGCTCTCCAAGGCCCTCGCGATCGCTGCTAACTCTGCTGTATATGGATTCTGTTCCTCCCTTGTCCCGAGCGTCACAAAATAGTTTGCCACGGTCTCGTTGGCCATGCTGAGCGTGCACTCGGTTGCGCTGTAGCGCACATCATCTACATTATTTGTCTCATTGGATGTATGTAGTTAGCGTGCCAAGGCCCTTTAGGCTTCGTGCCTCCGGGCGAAATAAATTCCATCCAGCCATTATTTGTCTCCCCAAACCAACGAGTCGAGTCGAAGCCTGCAGCGGGCGCAGGTTGAGTGACAGGCAAGCTCCGGAGGCGGGGAGATTAACGACAAGTTGCATGTTGGGACTCGTCACTCTGCACCTGAAAGCATTGAATTGTTTGCTGTCATACACCTCGACATTTCACCCAACTCCATTACGCTCGCCATTGACCCAAGAAAGGAGCAATCAAGACACATAGGACAACACTTTCTTCTTCTTCTTGATCTTCTTTGCGGTCATAGAACCCACTTAGGCCTTTGGCTCCCCAATCTCAGCCGCCATTTTGACATCTTCTTCGTCCTAGACATCCTCTTCGTCCTGGGCAACTTCTTCGTCCTGGGCAACTTCTTCGACCTGGGAAGGCGCAATGTCTTTATTCAAGCCCAGGTTTGCGCTGTAGGCAAGCTCCGAAGGCGAGGGGGTTGATCTCACCGAGGACAACTCAGGCTTCGCGTCCGAGTTCGCGTCCGGGTTGGCATCCGCCATATTGCTGATGGAGTCAAGACTATCAGGTCCGTTTGCGGAAACAAAGATCGAGTCTGAAGGGCGTTAGAATATCCATTTTGCAGCGATAATGGGTTCACAGTTCTTACCTCCACTGATTCTGAATCCCGCAAAGCGCTTGCACGTTTCCAAGCCATTCCGGAGAACCTCGAGCTGCTTGTTGAGCTGCTCCCGCTTTGTGCGGGTTTCTTCTGATTCCCCGGCAATACGAGCCACCTGGTCATCAAGCATTTGGTAGATCGAGACAGGGGGCAGGATGCGATCCAGCGCGGACATCAGCTTGGCCTCGATCACTTCGACGGCCATGTCATCGATGAATCGCTTCAGAGCAACCTAGTAGAACCGTTAAGATTAGCGGATAACGTACTCAAACAGTCCATTGGCACATGGAGCAGCGACACTGGAGATGATTCGTGTTGAAATTTGCCGGCTTGAAGAAATGTCATATATAGAAAGAGGAAACGAAACAGCGCCAGTGAATAACAAACATACCTTGTAGTAGGCATTCAGACAATCGAAAGCCTCGCTTGCGGCAAAGCGTCCCATGTCCAGCTCACCACTCTCCGCCAACGAGTCAGCGAGGCGTCTGAGATCAAAATCGCCTTTCAAATACCATGTTTTGAGCGACTCGACACCAAAGAACCGACACAAAATCCTCTCCCGCTCGTTTTTTCCTCTCTCGCGGCGGACTTTCTGGAGTGTCTCGGTGAAATAGTGGTTGTAAGTGATCGGATGGCCGTGCTGATGAGGCATCAGCAGCTCTGTGGTTTTGTCGCGCATCTCCTGCAGGACTCCGCTCATTGCTGGTTCGAAGACCTCGTACTGCAGCGCCTTGGCCGTCGACTCGTCCGCGGTGTGTGCAACAACGAGTTTGACGAAACGGGAGGCAGCGTCCCACACATTCTCGACATGGCGGCGGGCGATGGCCCCCCATGGGCGACATTGCTCGAGAAACAGCTCGGCAACGATCATCGGATTGAAGGTCCCAGGCAACTCGCACCCCCGCGTCCTACGCATCAGATGCTCGATTTGGCTGATGAAGTCATCTCTAGTGATATAGACCACGTCATGGGAATCGGAAGAAACCGCCTCGGATTCCGGATCAACGACCTGGTGGTAGTGACCTCGGAGGGACATCTCGGACGCAAAATCTTTGTTGAGGTTCTGAACAACTGCCCTAATGCGCTGCTGATAACCTGATTCGGTTTTGGCGTCCAAGAAGAATGGGTCGTTGTAGTTGCCGCCCACCGATGCTTTGACAAGCGCCTGGAAGGACCCGCTCAGGTGGAACAAGTAGAGCCGCTGCTCCTGCGGGCTTGCTCGTGGCTTCCCAAGCTTCTCGAGTTGATCATGGCAGGACTTGAATTTCTGATCAATCTCATGCACCAAGCCAGGAAGCTCCGCAGCAATCTGCCCAAGGAGGACCTTGCTGAGGCGGCCGCGAAGCTTAGAGATCCCGAGGGAGGAGAGCGGAAGGGTCTTCCAGACTCCAGAGCCGAAGAACTTTGCCTCCTCGGCGTCCCTGGTCGCAACGCTCCAAGAGCCTTTCTCGGAGTCCATGTTTTTCAGCACGTGCCAGCCGTGCCGGAACTCGACCTCCTGGTTCCTGGCAAGAGAGACGTACAGGGCTTCACTCCCGCCCCCTGGGATCAAGGTGTCGGGCTTTGTGATGACGCCCAGAGTCCGGGTGCCACTCGGGTCTGCCGTCCGGGCCAGTTTCAGGACAATCTGATTGGCGAAGTCGTTTTTGGCCGACACCACGGCAAGGATGATGCAGCGCGGCTCCCTCATGTAAGATTGGACGACATCCTGGACGAGCTCGACGTCCGAAGTGGTTTGGTTTTTTGTCTCGGAGTGGATAAGCCCGGGAAGGTCGACGATGGTGAGATGAGGTTGGTCCGGGCCGGTCACTTCGATACGGAGGATGTCCTTGGCAAAGGCTCTGCCGTACGCCGTGATGCCCATCTCGGCCTTTGCTCTCTCGACCAGCTGGGGGAGATTGTCGAAATCGTCCAACTCCTCGCGGAAGGCGAGAAGAGCCTTATGCTCGGCTTCCGGGCGGGATTTATGGGGGACAATGGCAACGCCCGCGCTGATGTGCGGGGTCCTGCGCAAGACGAGTTCGGTTGGGAAACGAGTGCAGAGGTTGCTCTTGACCGGGAAAGAAACACCCGAGATGGCCTCCAGGACGGAACTCTTGCCGGACGACTGGTCACCGCAGACGATGATTTGCGGGAGGGAGATGTAGTTGTTGATGCCTTGCAAACGGAGCTGGTCAATCGAGTCCAGAAGCATGAGCTGATCTTGGGAGCAGAGCTTGCTCAGGGAGCTCTGTATGGCGACCATTTTGAGATGGGGATAAGTCAGAGGATATGTGACCAGAGGTTGGACTTGAAGAAGAATTGGCTCGAAGGGGTGGCAAAATCAGTGGTATGGACGCCGCCGTGTTGATTCTCTCCCTCTCTGGCAACACTCAACGTGCAAGTTGAAGGCAGCGAAGCAGAATGCTGGTATTTATACTCCAGAGGTGCCAAACCGAACCGCACAAGATGCATGAGGCTCATGACCGACGTAGACACGCAAACGGAGGGTGTTTAGTTCGAATTGAATCCTTGGATCACGATGTTTGGTGGGCTCACCGCCACAGGTTGTGGTCCTGGAGCTAAGGTAGATTTCCGTCCCCGTCACCAACACTGTTGTTGCTGTTGTTGTTGTTGAGTAAACGCTGGCCATTCAGTCGCTTGGGGTCGCCGACCGGGCTGGACTACCGCAGGCAAACTCGTGCATCCAGCCGACGGGAAAAAAGAAGTCTCTGTATTCGTTGGGTGTGTTTGTCGGCAGATGGGTGGATTTCGGCCTGCTCTGACTCGGCTGCTGCCCGGTGCTTGTTTTTGACCCTCTGTCCGGCTTCACCCACCTGCGGGCCCTGGCACACACCATTTCCGATGCTGCGCTCCACCCGACCTGTGGACGAGGCCGGGGTAGGAATGCTGACCGGCGGGGTACGTCGTGCGACGTCCGCGTACGCTGGCCGACTCGATGGGGCTCCATGAGCGCCCGATATGGCGTGCAGCTGGAGCCTAGTGCGCTCCAGCTCGCTGCGGCCTCGGTAGGTTGCCTCGCGACCCGGCCGGCCGGCCGGCCGCCCAATAGACCCAACAGTCACTATCAACCCAATCAACCCGATCATTTTGAGCGCTGGAAGCGCCGTCAAACGTAGGCTGCAAGGCTGACTGTCAAAGTGAGCTTCTCCGTTTGGAGTCCTTCCGTTTGCTCTTCCTTCTTCACTCCCGCTCCCCTCTCTTCCTCTCTTTACTTCCTCCTCCTTACTCTCCTCCTCTACTCTCTTTCAAGGACCAAACCGCCAATCCAGGCCATCACCAGTGCTTGGGAAATGGCAAACTCGCCGGATTCAAAAGCGCTTGACTTCATGATCAACCATGTCTTTCTCCCCCCTCAACTGCCGCAAGAGGACGACTCAGAAGCTGGATACCTGAATACCACCATTCGAGCCTTTCGCGATTCCGTTGAATGCTTCCTGTCGGCAGAGCCTAGTTCCGCTCCCTCTGTCCGGCCTGCGGTTGACATGCTCGACCGGCTCCTGAGCACCGAGACTCGTGGCATGCACCATGTGATTTCCGACTTGAAGAACGGTGGTGTGTATCTCCCCTCTTCCATCCCTATCAAACATCACTCATCAACATGGCCAACCCCCAGGCATCGCCCTTTTCCACCTCCGCGCTCAGAACGCCGGCCTACTCGTCACTGCCCGACAAGATGACGTTCTCTTCGAAGCCTTTGAGCTCCTCGCCCCAAACGACAAGGTCATGTCCTGCCTGGGCGCCCTCCTCCGCGAGTTCCCCGACCGCGCCGCTGTCATCACCTACGCCCGGCTCCAAGACCCCGACTTCCTCAGCGAACTCGCCAACTTCATCCAGACGCTCACCGCCAGCAACGTTCCCGTGGCCCGCCCCAAAGTCAAAAAAGCAAAAACCTTCCAGCCCGAGGAGCGAGATACCGTCTCGCCGCTGCTCATGAACGGCATGCTGATCGACCTGCTCTCTGGCCTCGGTGAGAGCGTCGCCCCCCTGAGCCGCGTCACCAAACGCAGCCGCGAGCATGTCGGTTGGAGCAGCGCCCTCCTGCCGTTTCATCGCTGCGCGACATGGTTGCTTCTCCGCGTTGCGCTGCGTCTTGTTCTCGACAGAGCGGCGGCTGCTGGCGTAGGTGGAGAGACGTCGTAGTACAAACCGCTGATGGCGTTCCACCTCGCCCGTCTCTTGGACATGGCTGCGAAGGTGAAAGATTCCCCGGTACCCAATGACAGGCTGTTTGTCATGCAGGCCAAGGTCGTTCGGCGTGTGGTCAAATTGGATCCTGCCGTGGAGACAGGCTGGGTGAAGGAGGTGAGGGTGGCGGTGGAACGGGCTAAGAAAGTGATAGAGAGGCGTTGGAAGACGGTGCGGGACAATAACTCCAAGGTGCTTCCTCTGAAGAAGCTCGCCAACCTCTCGAGAAAGATACTACGCTCAAGCTGCCCAGTTTTGTCTCCCTCTCGGCGACGCTTGCGGGTCTGAGTTTGCCGTGCTGGCCGTGGAGAAGCTGCAAACCCTTAATCAGGTGTATCGCAAGCGAGCCGTCAAAACTTACAATGGCATCCCTGACGCCCTGTCCACCATGTACCTGATCCTGATGGAGCTCTGGGTTGCCATGGACAAGATCGCGGGCAACGCCATACCCCTGCTGCTCGACTACGACCCAGGCTTTCCGCTCGACATGTTGCATCCGTTGTTGCTTGAGCGGAAGAAGGACATGGAGCGTCTCGTTGCTCTCGAGACGTATGTCTCCCATCGGCGGAAACAAGCCGCGGGGCAGTATCTCACAGCCTTTGGAGGGTTCGGTCATGACCAGTCCTTTGCAGTTCGCTTTTTCAAAACCTCAGCTCAGCATCAGAGGCTCAAGCACGAGATTGTGGCCTGGGCAGGAGAGATGAAAACCAAAAAGCTGCAACAGTACGAGGACAAGAGGACAGAGCATGAGGCCCTGGCCCAGGCTCGCCGCGCCTACTCGGCCTGCGAGGAGGTGTGGGATTCATGGGAGGAGTGTTACAGACATTCCTCCAGCTGTGAGCGCTGCCGTTTGGACAGAGCAATGAAGGCGATCAGCATCGAGATCTTCGAGTGGCCGCTGCCCACAAATCCCAGGCACGCCGAGGGACGAACTCGATCCCCGAGCTAGGGTTGAGAAGCTGATGAGGAATGAGTTTCCGTCGGTTTCGGAAGATACAGTCTTCGGCGACGCGATGATGCAGTGCTGGCACGGCGAATATGCATCCATCGCGTCTGTTCAGCAAGACGTCTTTTCCCGGCTTGGACGGAGTGTTGCTGAAGACGAAGCTTTGATGCAAGCGGCCATGGAGAGAATGGCTGCACAGTATTCTTTGCTGAGAGCTGAATGTGAGGAGTACATGACAAAGCAGGCACGGGAAAGAAGCTACTAGAAGGGAAAGTTCTTTCATATTCCAGTTCGACATCTCAAGACAGAACATCGCTGTTTATCACACTTCGGGGGCTCCAAGCATTTCGATCTTCACGCCCTCCTTTGTGTCTCATCCAGTTCATTGCCTGATTCGCAGACAGTGAGCAGGCAGGACGGGGTACTAATACTTGAGCTAAGGGCGACGACATGTCAATTGAATAAGAGATGTGATCTCCATGGTTGGGCCTGTTTCCGGGGGAGGCAGAGACGGAGGCGGCAGGACGGCCGTTACGTCCACCTTGCTCATCTGTCTACTTTTCTTTCTTCCTCCTCCTCTCGTCTTCCCTCCACGACGTCTCACGAAGGCATATATGGGAGAGGGCGCAACCCAGTCCCGCGAGAATGGGAACAACAACAACAACGTCCATTAGGAGCACTTGATGCGGTGCTCCGCAACCGCCTGTTGACAATCAAAGTGACCGTAGGTGTAACCATTCTCATCTAACCAATAGGGGTCATGTTTTGCAAGAAGCAGGCGCAATAAGCCGCTAAGCCAACGGGTCGTCCCCGTCAAGTCTCCCCTGACATTGAAAAAGCGGACTATTAGCATAAGCGACTTGTTTGAGCAGGCTAACGGCGGCTGAGTGGCTGGAGAACCACAGAACTGGCTCGAAATTTGAGGAATATTGAGAAGGACCATGTCGATCACCCTTGCCAAAAGGTCTTGCAGGAGCCCCACAGGCAGGCGCCTCTTGCGCTCGGTGGGGCTGTTGCAGCGCTTAGCCAGCCAATCACCTCCGGTACCGTTCTGTCGGGACCAAACGTCTGTGTCTCTCTCGGGTGAAGGTCAACAGCAGACTGACAATCGATTTCAGCGCAAGGACAGCCAGACCAAACAGCAAGAAGAAACTCACACAAAAGTCAAGCGCGAGGCTCCTACCGTCACCGATAAGGAATTCACGGCTCGGTATACAACAGGCCCAACACCAACCGGACGCGAGGATTTGTGACCTGGGGGCCGACTCCGCTCTGGCACCGAAGACAGGAGCAGCCTCCCCGGTCGGGGGCCACTCCGGTCAAGAGGTTTGGAGGGTCTTCACTATCCTCTTGAAAACGACGTCCCTGCCGTTGTTCATGTTCTGGAGTGCCCAAGCCCACTTATTACAACACATCCATTGTGCATCTCATTGCGGATCTTGATGGATGACGCCGCACCCGAGAGAAGGGAGCCTCGCCCTAAGCGAAGCCCGCATGCAAACCGGCGGAACCATACCACCATTAGGTCCATAGAGGGCAGCTCTCGCCGCTTGACGCCCAGAAAAAGCGTTGAGGACTCAAGGAGTGAGAAGCCTACAAATCGACCATGATCAACCTCTACTATAGCATGAGTCATCCGATGCATACGATACTGATGGGAGATTGCCCTACAAAGCTAGATGGCTAAAGAACCTAGACATATGGCGGTTCCAGGTGATGTGACTTCTCAACCGGCCTGTGACATCGCATTGCCACTGCAGCGAGACTTACGGGAATGCAAAGCACTAGAAGCGCCATCTCCTCAAACGTAAGTTCTAGCGCTTTCCATGTGAGGGGAGGAATTTGACAATTTCTCGAGTTGCGGTCCTTTCTCTTTTTGAGCCGAAAGTGGTTTCCTCAACCTACCCTTGAGCAACCTCTGTTCGCCGGCTCTTGTATGTCACTCGGATCCGTCAAGCCCTGGAGCCTAAATGTAGAGAAAACGGGCTATGTGACTTATTTGGAATCGTCCAGGCGCCGATCCGTGCTGATCTTCCAGTCACTCCCAAGCTGATCGATCCTTGAGTCAATCGAGCGCGGCTTGAGTACCAATGGTTCGTTCCTCTGATTGCTTCCTGGTTGGATTGCCTCTACCAATCCCTAATCGTCGTGTCGGCTCAGCCCCCGCGAGCCGCCCGCAGAAGGGCAGAGGCCACGTGTTTGGCCCCCGTCACGTCGAGTCCGCCTCCTCCCCTCCCCAGTTGGGCCCGCGCCGCGACCTTCCCTCGAGGGCTCTCCTGGTTGAATCACCCCTGACCAAGGCCTCATCGCCGTGGCGGCTCAGCCCTCGCGAGCCGCCCGCAGAACGGCCGAGGCCACGTCACGTCGAGTCCGCCTCCTCCCCTCCCCAGTTGGGCCCGCGCCGCGACCTTCCCTCGAGGGCTCTCCTGGTTGAATCACCCCTGACCAAGGCCTCATCGCCGTGGCGGCTCAGCCCTCGCGAGCCGCCCGCAGAACGGCCGAGGCCACGTCACGTCGAGTCCGCCTCCTCCCCTCCCCAGTTGGGCCCGCGCCGCGACCTTCCCTCGAGGGCTCTCCTCTGACCAAGGCCTCATCGCCGTAGCGGCTCAGCCCTCGTGAACCGCCCGCAACGCCGGAGAGGTCACGTCATGTCGAGTCCGCCTCGGCCCCTCTCCAGTTCCGTTGCGAGCTGCCCTGGGGACCCTTGCCAATCGGATCACCTAGCTAAGCCGAGCGCTTATGGTCGTCGACGCCAGCCCCCGCCCACCTAAACCTGTCTGCGGCCGCCGGAGTAGCGGCGTGTGATCCGATCTTATCCGAGGCACAAGCTGTCTTTCTTGCGACCAGCGGCCTGTGTCCCTTGCCGCAGCTGCGCCCGTATCCAGCCCGATCGCGGCTAACGACGTTAATATTCCGAATACGACACACAGAGGGGAGAAGAGGTAGCCTTCTCCCGCGCCTCTATATATCGACGCGGTCAAGATCTGCCGCATTGATGCAGATGGTCAGAGCGGGGACGTGGTCTCGCAATTGCGCCTGGAATCCGCTAGGCAAACATGGCGTTGCCTTACACACTACGTAAAACCCTGCGATATAAGGTGTTGCTGCGTATAGGGCGAGAGCACGGCAAAATCGTGAGAGCTCCCACGTTGACGAGTCTTAAAAGACGGGCGGTCATCAGTAAAAGCTGTAGCCGACAAAGAACGCGAATTTGGAAGGTCTCAGCACGGCTACGCCGCAAGGACGTAGGGCTTGGTGGGTGAGCTGACCGGGTGAGAGCGTCTGCGGTTCGAGAAATCTGAGAGAGGGGGAGAACAAGAGATGGAGCATGCAGCGTGGCGAGATGAGTGGCAGCGTAGTGGACGTGGAAGAGGAAAGGAGGTAAGGGAGCGCAAGGCCGAGGGGGGCACAGCTTGGTGTACTGTGATAATCAAGAACAGCCGACGTCCGCGGTCGTTGAGGCCTGATTGGATACCGTGGTGGTCCTTGTGGGTCCGGACGGAGGAATCAGAATTAGCATCCGTGCACGGCTCATATGGTTTCCAGGGTAACCGAATTTGTTTACTTCCCCTGAGATCTTATGGACGCCAGATCGAAGAAGCCAGACAGTACATCCAACGGCAATAGCACGGGCAGGCGAGGTTCTCATGATGAAGCTCGCGATATAGCTCCGCCACGTCGTCGAGCTCGTTGGTCCTCAGATGCGCCGTCCACGTCACATCAATACCCATTCTTACAAAAGAATGGACAGGGTACGGAAAGGGTACGCTGGACGCCTTCGCCGGCAGTAGCCATTTATGGAAGCCCTGTACTGGCCGCTGAGCCGAACGCGTGGGGTTCGTTAGTTCAGTCCACTTAGAGCTGCAAGTCATTTCATGACACGAGATTGAGTAGTTAACAGAAGCAAACCAGTCACCTTGTGACTTAACGGTCTCCCATTGTGAGTGAGAACATGCTTTATTTGCCTCCGAGCTACGACTGACGCCAAATCGTCGAATCCGTTTGTTAGGGTGCAGCCACTTGCCATTTCTCCTCGTTGCAATACAGAACCCAAGCCAGAGCACCCGCTTCGTCCTCCATTATAAGGGCACCTCGAAGTCGTCAATCCGCTCCCTAGTAACAAACCACCCGTTGGGAAATACCGCGAGGCCCAGGGCAGACCGCGTAGGGCAAAATCCTCGGGCGGCGGCCGGTGCTTGGGTTCGCTGGGGCCACGGGGTGCCTTGCCCTTGTTTTTTGACACTCACACAAACATGAAGACTGCGTGCAGCGAGACATCCAGCCTCAGCCAAAAGGAACTTAGGAGGCGAATGCCGTTTAACTGTACCCCGGATTGCGATGTTGCTCACTCAAGCCTTTAGCTGCCGCATCGGGAAGCTCACCATAATCGACGCTCTCCGGCATCTCCAAGTCCGGTTCCACCTCATACTCCGAGTTAACCCCGAACCGCCTGTTCTCCTTGTCGAAGCGGAGCCACTTGCCTTCCTTCTTGGCAATGCGGCACCCGAGCCACACTACCCTCTCCATCCTTTCCTTGGTCATCGACGGGACCTGTAGAACATTGTTCCTCCAATCAGCCCTTCTCTACGAAGTCGCCACATCTCCGCGAGCGCTACTCGGCCTCAAACCGGCCTTCGGTCACACGTCGTCATCATGCTGGGCCAGGCTGCTCTTGATGTCTGTTCAGGAGCAACACTTGGGTTGGCTTCGAGAACTGTTCAAAGTATTCCCTGACGTCGTCCACGAGATCTTTTAGGAGCCTCTCAGCTATAGCCTTCTCACTAATCAAGTCGCCGCAGTGCTTCTCAGCTTGTCTGTTGCAATCGAGATAGCATCATAGAGGTCGGTCATTTCTCTTGTTGCTCCGCTGACATGTGTGAAAAAGTCGGCAGCCAAACGCTTAGAGATGGACTCGAGTTCCGCCGGGGCCTTGGGGTTTGTCCTGTGTCGCTCTAGGGAAAGGGGCCGTCGGTCAGGGAACAATTTCAAGTCTCAAGAATGGTGAGTGTGGGGAAATGATAAGGATACGTACCGCGTTCGGCAAGCTCTCGGGCTTGGGTGACTCGAAAGGATATGTGACGCTGCGTTGGCGATCCCTGCAAGATGATGGCGGCGAGTGGGCGGTGACCCGTGCTCTCGTAGTCGGGGAGAGAAGCATATCAACCCGACTGTCGTGGTTGCATTTTACCTGGCCCGCCTCGTGTTAGCTTAACATGCGGTACGACAGGGTGTTACTGCTCGACAACTTGCCGGAGTACTGTTGCCCACTGCAGCGCCGATTTCCCGGTCAGCGTTGTCGTTTTGAGAAGCGACACCGTCATCCCCATTAGCATCCTCGGCGTAGGGGTGGATGCTGATAACTTCAGAATCAGGGACGCGGACAGGCAGAACAGAACAGAGGGGACTACCTTCTCGTATTGCTCACAATTAGATGTTGCTCCCCACCTCCTTGCCTAAGGTAGAATGTGATGTGAAACAAGAAATTAGTTTGGACTTATGCATATAAAAATAAATAAAACAACTTAACGTTAACTAAATAAAACAAGAACAAAAAAAGTAAGACATAAAATTCGGGAAGGGAGGGGGGGGGGGGCCAAGTGCGCGGGTTCTCCTGAAATGCAGGCAGTAAGCAAGACAAAACGTGCCCAGACAGCCAACCCAAATCGCATAACATCAGATCAGAAAGGAAGAGAAAGAAAACAGCTCCCATCAGTAAATCATCCTCACACCAAAAGCCAACTCCTGGCCATGCTCATCCTCATAGGCGTGAATGACCAGCGTCGAGCCGTGTACCCTATTGGCGTCGCTAAGCCGGTCGGAGTCCATGCCGTAGCCACCGTGGCTAGATGGCTCCCGGGTGTTGCTGAGGGGGCCAAAGAGCATGGGCGGCCCACTTAAGCTGTGGGCTACCGGGTTGCTCAGCCCTTGCTGAGTGGGCTGCTGCTGCTGTGCAATGTGCCAGTTGGAGAATGCATGGGCTGTGTTGATTGGACTTGTTGCTGGAGATGTAATCGGGACACGCATGACCTTGCGGCCCTTGCCGCGGCCTTTGATACCCTTGTTCGCGAGGTTATACAAGTCGTCGAGGTACTTGGCCATCTCCTTGTCCTCCTCGGATAACATGCTCTTGTCCTTAGCGCCAGCGAGCTTGGAATTGAAGGCCTCAATCTCCGCAACGTGGTCCATGTTTTGATGTGCCTAGATTTAAGCTAAGTTCAGTGGCCGGGCAAGCAGCGGGGAGGGAAAACATACCTTTAGGTTGCCCTTCTGGGTGAATGATTTCGAGCAGTTTCCAAACCTACAAATCCAGACGGCTCTCAACTCCTTTTTTAAATGTGTCCTCTCGTGTGTGCGGAGGTTTGATCTCTGAGGGAAGCGGCGGGGGCACTCAGGGCATTTATGGGGCCTTTCTCCAGTGTGACGATTGATATGTGTCTAGAACATGTGAGACCTCATCGCCTTTTTCCTAGTATTTTGGGCTAGAATCGTACTTGGAGGTTGACTTTCTGGGTGAACCCTTGCTGGCAGTGTGGGCAGACCTAAGGTACTGTCAGTAAAAACCTGATGCCGAGATAGAGCACACTTACATGAGGGCTTTCGCCAGTGTGGAATCGTCGGTGGATGTTGAGGTTGGCCCTCCCGGCAAAGCTCTTGGGACATCCGGGAACGTCGCAGCGAAAACGCTTCTGGTTTGCTTTTCCACCATCTTGCTGTGTCTTTCAAGGTTAGAGCCAAAGACCGTCATCGCTTTAAAGCACCGTTGTCCGGCATACCTGGGTGTCTCTTGCCGCCTCCTTCTTTCGGTCCATCTGCACAAGCTCTGCCTCATTCGAGGGGGCGAGGAGTGCACTCTTGGCATTGATTACCCGCATGACTTTGTCGACGGGCGTACTGAACTGGTGAATAGGGGTTGTTTGCACCCTCACGGTGAGGGTGGCGGTTTCGAGAGAGTCTGAAAGAGTCGAACTGGCCTCGCTCTTGACGGATGAATTGCGGCTTCTCTTAACTCGCGGCTGCAGACGCCCGGGAGGCTTCCCAGGTGCGCCGCGAAAGATGGGCGCCTGGCACGGAGTTTGCAAAGGTGAAGCGCATTCCCATTCTGATAGCCAATGTGATGTTTGAAGGGGAAAGCAGACCGAAGTCTGTCCTGAACACGTCATGGACGGTAAGGGCTGGAGAGCATATTGACACTCCGCCGTATCGAGCTCCAGCGCCGGACCCGGAGCCGACAGCTTTTGCCATGCTCCGACATACGAAGGCGCCAGGGCTGAACTCGCTGGACGGAAGTGCTGGGATATCTGGCCGTGTGGGCTCGGAATCGTACAGTCGTAAGGCACAACACAAGCCTCCATCGTAGAGCTAGCCGCCGGGGGTCAGGGGCCACAAGAGCACTGGCAGACAAGAGGAATCGAGCTGTGACGGAGCTATTGAGACCGCTAGCTGTGAGGGATGCTTGGGTGAATGATTACCGAGCCGGTTCGGGATGGGAGCTTATGATAAACACGAATCGCTGTTGCGACCCACGGCATATGTGCCGGCAAAAATGGGCTGAAATATTCGGGGTTGGCATGCAGTATTTCAGCTTGAGTGATCCAACGGCATCGGGGCGAGGATCGAAAAAGCAAATATGTCTACCAAAGCCGAGGTCCCCGTGGGGTTCCGGGTGGGTGGGATAGGGTGTCGCTTTGATGCCCCGGAAATGACGACGTTGGTTCGGTTGGGAACGGTACCCCTAAAGCACTAATGCAGGTACAGATATCCCATTACATGTGTGGAACTGTTCGTTATTAGTGCGGATGCACCAAGAGGAGAAGGTTGCCGAGCTAATATCTCCAGCAGTTAAGACCCGCGGATCCGCTCCCCTCAACATGGATCCGTCCAAGCTTGATTGGCGGATCGCTTAGCTAGCCAATAACGTATTCCATACCCTGGTCTCGCGGATCTCACCAGGCGGGCCGGGGCTCATTACAGCCGCCAAGTGCTGCGAAAATCTCGCTTGCGTATACATAGTACATGGCGACCCCTGCATATCTGGCTACACTCCTATACAGTTAGCTTTCCCAGGTTAATCGATTCACACCCCGCCAGCAGGGAACTTGTGAAAGCCCAAACAGGGATTTGTGACTCTGGGACAGGCAAAGAACTGGGCTATGTGCCAAGCTCGTCATCTTACCTTGCCAGGCAGGGCTGAGCCTCATACATACATAAGCATCTGGACCAGCAATGGTCCCGCTTCCCACGGTGCCGATGTCAATGCTGTACCCACGTTGGGGAGCACCTGATATGGTCGTGGTGATACGGCTTCGCTTATTCCTCTGCGGGTACCTGTGGCGCATCAGCCTGCCCCGCCCGATGTCTACACAGTGCACGATTTCGAGGAGTCCAGCTGATCGGCGCCTTGGCATTGTTCACTGCGGGCCTCACCTTCAATCCCCTTGTTTATAACGAGGCCCACCCCCACTAATAATGCTCAAAATCTACCTTCAAAAGCCTAGTTTCTTTGCAAGCCCACAGTCACAAATCCTTGTCAAGGCCTCCCCCATTCACAGTTCCGATCCAAGAAAACCCGACTTCAAACTCTCGTCCTTCGTGAACGCCACCTTGTTACTTCAGAGAGTTGGACCATGCAATACTCCCTGCTGTCGGGGTCCTCCTTCGGTCAAACGATATCTCCAACTATGCTGCATCGACTCCTCAGGCGTTTTGTTCGAAGGCCCCGAAGTTCATCGAGCCGCTACGTTGGCGTAACACCCAAGAGCTCTGGGAGGCTTGTCTTGGGATTGCGAGCAGTAGCGACGTGTACCTGAAGTTTCGCAAAGGTACGTCTCCCTAGCGTGCTGTCCCTGGAACCACGAAAATCGGCCTCTGCGACCGACATGAGTTGCCGAAGATGTGCAATGCCTTTTCCTCCTGCCAACACCACCGGCGATGCCTTGCGCAATAAGAACCAGGGCGAAAGGAACTGGTTGGTATCCAGGAAGTTTGTGTCCACTTCTGTCATTATCTGACCCGTCACGGTGTATGCACTGCCAGCAAAGAAGGCGACAAGGCAAAGACGCTGGAGTGGTAAAGCGAATAAGAGTGTATAGTGGTACACGAACTTGAGGCTCTTAGGTATAATGAGTTCATGTCTCTCTCGTTATTATCATCCTTCTTCTTGCACTCACTGCTTACAACGTCCTCTCAGCTGCCTGCAGTAGTTGCTAAAGCCGACCATAAGCCTAGGATCAGCGCATCGCGACCCCGAAACGGGCCCCAACCTACCAAACCCAAACGGAGCACTTGTAATCTGCCTCCTGCATAACTCGTAGACCGCGAATCGGTCCGGATGCATTTCTCAGCGCCACTGTAAGATTGCTAACTGAAGTGGCTCGTTAACCCCATACTAACTGGGAAGTTCTGTCGTGCTCTTCAGGAAGCCGAGGTCGAGGCACTAAGCTGGGGTGAGGAGAAGGTAGAGTTGCGGAACAAAAAGACATTCATGATTTAGAACCCTTGACTCTTGACAAGGTAACTGTTAAGAAACTGTCCAGGATGGCATTGGAAGCGGTGTCCAGAGAGCAGCACCTCTCCTTCCTGTATGTGCCTTGGTTGATGAGGGCAAATAGTGTGTTGTACCTTAGTCCAATCGCGTCATGGCCGGCCTAGGCCGTCCTTTGGAGAGACCGGCCGGTCTATCTAAATTACCACTCAAGTTCCTTCCCTCTTGAGCCCTGCCGAGACGGATCGCAACCAGGGTTGGAAGCGCCACACCCCGCCCCATGAGCCGGCTGATGGGTGTGAAGCGTGCTATCGCCGGCCGCAAGCGAAGCAACCCAGGTCCTCGATGGCAATGATTGTCTCGAGGGTGCTGCAGAGAGTGAGAAGAAACGCGGCAATTACCAAGCAGAAGAAGGGAGGTAGGCCCTCTTATAGCCAGTTTCACATGTGGGCATACTTTGAGTGCAAATTCTCTCCCGGAGGTGAGGCGCCATTTACATGGGCATGTACTCTGATATTTACAATGCTTGATGCCGTCCTATTCTCTGTATTATTCACATTAGGCCATGTGCATCCAACCGGGCGAGACTGGCTCTCCGAAGCGAAGGCATCCTGTTCCCGTTCTGAGGCGTTGTGTGGCCAGCCCGCTTTAGTGCGATATCTGCCGCTGTGACTTTCCCTCTCTCTCCCAAACAGCCCATAGGATTCTTATTGCCATCGGCACCTATGGCCTTGTGCTGAGCAGAACAATGCTTTTTGGAGTGACGCTTGAGTATGTCGGGCCGCGCGAAGGCCTCACCGCATTCGCAACTGTACGACCGCTCGCCGGTGTCTACAACGAATCGTTAGACCACGTGCAGGTAAGGTGAGGGAAAAGGGAGAATGGGGACTTACATTTCATGTACTGGCGCGTTAGATTGCTCCCACGCGCACAAGCGGTATTGCATACCGTGCAAAGGAACTTCTTGTCCACGCCATGCCCGGCGATCCGCTATGTGCAGTTTAAGCGTCCAGCAGGGTCTACCAGACATCCATACTCAGTCCCCGCGGCGCGGGTTGATCTCCTGCTCATCAGCTTCATTGCATCTTGGAACGCGCAGATCCAAGAGGGCCGACAGGAGCAGGGTGCCCCGGGTGCCTGCTTCGGCCTGGTTAGGGTTAAGCCATGATCCCTGGACCCCAGCTTTGAAACTTGGGGTCCAGGGATCTGTCCTTGGTACTTCCAGACGACTGGTGGTTTTGGATGAATGGCACGGTTGGCGTGCCATTCAATCCGGCATAGCGTGCATACAATCCGAACCCGGCCATTGCTCCAACATCTCCCATAGCGAGCTTGGTTGATTGGCTGGGTTCTCAGCCACGTCGTTGCGGGCCTGCCAACCGCGGATAAGGATCTCAATCCGCATCTTTGCGTGGCTCGATTCGGCCATGGTTGAAGAAATGGGGCTCGGACCGGCCCGTTGTTGACCGGGTTGATGCGAGGTGGAAAGCCGAGATGGTCGAGGGTAACTTTCGTGAGCCGTGAATCCGGGTCCGGGAGTGAAAAATGAATTAGAGGAGTTATCAGAGGAGAGCGGAAAAGAACCTTAGGATGGGGGAGAACGATAAAGAAAAATAAAGGCGACCCCTCCGGTGCAAGGATCATGCCTTCCTGAATAGTCAAGAGCATTTGAGCTGTCAAAGATCCCTGTCAAGCTTTCTCGCCATCTTTTTTCCTCACGACCGAAGAGCGAAGTAGGTACCAGGGTCTGACTGTACATCCAACAGCGCCAACTGCCAGGCCAGGTTTCAGCGGCCGACAAGGCAGACAGACCATCAGAGCATTGTGCGTAGGTCACAGCTCACAGAGCCAATGGATTGTCTTCAAAACGCTGTCCTTGGGACGAAGGCAAACCCAGACGCGTTGGCCAGCCACCGCCAAATGCGTAGATATCAGCATACCTACGCTCGCGGTCAATTCCTGGCAATTAACACTTTCAGATTTGGTAAAGAGGGGCTTGGTAGGTAGGCAGAAATATGCCTAGGGCTGTGTAAAATATTTCCTTGAAGAATGAGCACCATGGCCTCTATTCCAGACCACAGATGTAACGGGGTCTGGATTCCTTGGTCATGGTTTGTGCATGTTATTATTGGAAGGACAGGAACGTGGGGTGCATCCAGGTAAATCACGCCAAGCATTCATTCTGGGAATCCCGGGGGCTCTTGCAGGTGCATTAGCGTACTTTTATAGACACCCACACCATAAACAAATCACCCTCCTACGGAGAATGCGGAGCGACGAGTGGATTGTGGATTCCAGCCTCATCACCCCGTCCCGTCGCTCTGTCTCGTCAACTTTACTCGTCACCCCGTCTCGCCACCCCGCCTCGTAACCCTTCTCTCCTTGTTCTCGCTAACCTGTCTCTCCAACTCGTCTCGTCACCTAATATGTGGATCCGTACATGTATAAACACGCCGGGGACCCACTAGGTTGCACTACATTCCTGCATGCGGCAGGTTTTGAGGAAGCCACAGTCACCTTAACAACTGGTGTCTGGTTAACATTGATCAGGCATTGCACATGCAGCTGGCTGCTGTCCCCGATCCAGGATAACTGTCTTGTCGAGACCCAAGAGTTCTTTCGTGTCGAGATCAACTAATTCGGATGCTCCTTACCTTCGACACACCCCTATTGGGTTAACTTGAAGAATCATCTCGCGCTGCTCGCGACAGCGCAATGAACGTGACAAGTGCATTTCACTCCAAGGCCAAGCGCCATGATCTGGCTTGGTGATATATAACCGCGGGTCCCTTGCACACGGCGCGCCCCAAGTTTACTTCAGCAAGAGCTCTGCACTATACCCCTGAGAAAACCTGCATCTCCCCACAGCCACGTCGATTGCCTCGTCCTTCTCTTTGTCCCTCGACGTTGCCTCGTTTGCCTTGTTTGCCTTGTTGTTACCTCTTTGTCTCCTATGCAGGAACAAGCCGAGCTTGGGCCGCCGTCTGTGGCCGTCAAGACAGCAGTTACCTCTTCTTCGGTGCTGGCTCTGATCAGCGTTGTTTGTGAGATTCTTACGAGATACCGAGTCGATCCCAGTGGCGGCATTGTTGCCGTGATTAGGCCCACCGATGGCAATATCGACGCCGCCAGCGACCGTCCCAGCGTGGAGGACCGACCCATCTTCCTATCCCATGCTAAATCTTTCGATTTCCTCTGGTCCAGCCAAATCTTGGTGGTCATCACCTGCATCTCCCTCGCCGGATATGGTCGTTGGGACTTCGCCGTTGCTCTCGGAATCCACCAAACTCTGTTCCAGCGATTGCACTTGGTTAAGAAATGGGAACCAGGGCGCAGAAAGCTCTGGCACGCTGCTGCTTGCAGTGGTTTGGTGCTTGGACTGCTGATTGTGAGCGTCTTCCTGGCCGAGCGCGGCAGGGAGCCAAAAGCGGCCGGCGATTTTTGGATGCCTGACCGTGCTGGCAAGTATCTTCCATTGTCGGTCGTCACGCTCGTTCATGTCTGGTCAGTTTGGGAATGTATAGCTACGCTCTATCGTCTCACACGGCAGAGGGCTGAGATGGCGCGAGGAGGTGCGGCAGCTCAGGACCACGCACAGCAACGGGGATTGCGGGCGGCAATTCTGTTGTTCAGCTGCATTCTGACTCTTTCTATATTATCACTGGGTGGTTGGGCCGCACTACTGGTGGATGATTACAAGGATTTCCTTGCCGTAAGTCTTCGATGATGTATCTGCTGATTTACGCTAATGACGCAGCTTGTTTACTTCACGTGTGTGCCAGAGGAGTTGGTCTATTTCAGTGGCGCGTTGTGGAAGTGCAGGGTCAGGTGGAGACGCGGGCGCCGCCAAAATAATTTGCACCTCAGTTCATACCCCGAGATTCAGGGCGACATCAATCTCGCTTGCGCTGGCGCCGACTCTACCGTTGCCCTCGTGAACGAGAGCTTGTTGGTAGCCAGCTCGCTGCACCGGAAATGCGGCGTTGGTCCAGACGGGTCCGGGGCCGGGTCCGAGCCGGCGGAGTGAGCCAGGTTGCGTTCCCCACAGCGCAGGCAGTTGGGACCGCGAAAGGGTCAGCGAGTCATTAGTTACTGTATATTAGCTTTCTCAACATGTCGGTCCCACAAACCTTCAAACGGGAAGTGAGTGGGCGTGCTTGTACCAGACCAATTGTAGCTTCATCTTCTCTCATAAAATACCGGTAGAGTGCGACGGAGTCCCTATCTGTTCTTCAGCCAATTTTTGATTTGCAAGATACACCATTGTACTCAGGTTCAAGCTGGTCTCGATCCCGTTGAAGCTCGTCAGATGAGAAAACAGAAAGCCTCTATTTCAAGAGAGCGAGACAGCTCGTACATAATTACATATTACACTTCTTATAGTACAAAATCCATGTCGCGAGCAGCGCTGTTCGTCCCTCATTGAGACCCTAAAGGCTTCATCCCGAAAGCTGTGAAGACAGGAAAGTACGTGTGCACCTCGGGGTTCAGGAATTCTTGGCGGACGAAGGCACACAGCACCAAGACTGCTTCGGGTTCCCAATGCAGGCCGTGCGTAAGCAGAGCCATAGAGATGGTTTCGAGCTCTCTTCCAAGGGTCAATTCGGACCAGAGCCCAAGCAACCGCGGTTTGCGGTCCTTTGCCCAACGGTTTGTCGGCCATCTCCCTTCAACAACATGGACATCTGTAAAGCCCGCTTCCACAAGCATCTGTTGATACCGAGAGGCGAGATTGATAGGGCGGCCACTGTTGTTAGCCGCTCGGGCGAGAAGGCTGGCCCAGAGTAGTAGCGGCGAATCGTCTTTGAGAGTCCCGTCGTCGCATCGCGGCATAAGCAGCACGTCTTTGACCTCGGAATGCCCGCCGGGTTCCAAGTTGAATCCCCTCTTGTTGCCCGTCTCGTCACCCGGGCTCTTCACCAGGTTCAAATTCACTGATCGAAGCCCCCGTATCGCCGGCCCGTTACGTGCCCCCATCCGCGGAATCACACATCTCGGCCCAACTAGTCGCCCATCCCGCCCCGTCTCGTCGTTACGAGCTTTACCCGTTCTCATCGCTCGTCACTCTCTCCCGTGCCGTGAGACCAGCCATGGAACAGTTTCTTACTGCCGTTGACACGCTTTTGGATTGTTTGTGGGACAGCGCTCTCGCCAGCGCTCTCGCCCAATCGCCCAAGACGAAAAAGGAGGAATTCATCAAACTACTGACTCGGGTGAACCATTCTATTGCCGCTCGGAAGCTCGCAGGCAAATAGGCACCTGACAATGACAAGCCAATCCAGAAACAGGATATCGCAAGCACGTCCGGGTTTCTGAAGCAAATTTGTAAAAACGAAGATGGAGGGAGGAGGAAAAAATAAGAGTTGGAAAAACTGGCCTGCTTGCAACGTTTGGATGACAGAGCGCTCGGTATCCTGGCAGTTCTCTGTACAGCAGACGACATCTCCAAGCATTCAATCGGGACTGTTAGGGAGCTTGTGGAAGGGGTCGGGAAAATAGCAACATGGTCGCATTGGCCAGCTGATCCGAAGCTCGCCGAGGTCGTACGACAACAGAGACCGCCGGGCATCGCGTGCGATGGCATCTCAGAAGTCCGCCAACCAGCAAGCAGCTCGGCACCGATGGTTGTTCGGCCTGGCGTACGCAACACCGCGGTCACGGCCCAGCCGACCCGATTCGATCCTGCTCACCCATCCGAAGAACAGCTGCTTGTTCCGTGCCGCTGCGGTGCGAAGTTGCGTCTGCGGCTCGCCTGGGAGCAGGCAACTGACGGTGAGCCGCCCGGATCATCCTTCCCTTTTTCTCGTACTCAGCAAGTCACCGGGAAGCTCTTCGGCCTTGTACAGCCAGACCCCCATTTGGATAGTCAAGAAATTCCCAGAGGCCACACGTATTTCGTATTCTGGCATATCCAAGTAGATAGCCTTTGTGTCTGTGCTCCTTGTGGTGCGAAATGCGGGATCATCCTTTGACACGCCGCACTGTCACCGATAAGTTTCAGAACATAAACCAAGCAGACAACACAACCTTACCGATTGAGCGGCCATGTCCAAAACCTCCTCCTCGCCTTTATTTTTGGCATCTTGCGGCATCTTTAGCGTGATAGTAAAAGCTTTGTGTCAGAGACGTATTCAGACTGTCGCTTGGTTGGGCTTTTCCTACTTTGCGCCCGACGAAAATGCCCTCAAGAAAGAGTGAGAGGCCTATCGATATTGCGGGGTTTCGCGGAGCGGATCAATCCGATTTGCGACGGGTCAAATGAATGGATCGTCGGAAAAAAGTTGTTGTAGTTGTCAGGTGACAACGGTCCGACGAGGACCGCACGAACTTGTGTTGGCTGGCTCCCTGACAGACAGGATGTCGTCAAGCACATCCGTAGCATCAACCGCAGCAGGATTCGGTGCACCAGTCGGTCCCTTGCTTCCCCAAACATGGCATACCGGGACCCATTCTCCTACACCAGCCAGGGTAGAGGAATCTCCGAATTTGGATCAATCGAGGGTCCATCTCAGCTTAGATGCAGTTGATTGACGGGATCGCTGCAACACGGCCACTGTATATATATGAGCAAGGTACTTCCGGGCAAGGTGGGCATCAACTCAATTCAACTCAACTCAACCCAACTTATGCAAAAAAAGGCCCAACTCAACCCAACTTCACGGCCGGGTTGAGTTGGTGAGTTGAGGTACATTGAGGCCAAGACCCCTGGAAACTCCTCGTGGCACCAGTCTGTTTTGGTGTTCGTGCCATTGCCCAACAGTGGCATTCGGCAGCGGATAAACCATGTATCCGAAGAAAACAGGGCAGCCAAAGTGCCCTCCTGCTTTTTCGGCGCTTTTTGGTGGTGTTGCAGGCCAATCTAATCTTCCCCTGCCGCACGTACCTGGGAGGCAAGCCGACTGCGACCTTCCTGTCCTAATTTACCAATGGAAAGTCAAGAAAATCATCGGAGAGGAAGTCATGGGCGGAGTGAGGTACTATTTGGTCGATTGGGAACCGACGCTCGAGCCTGCGTCCCATGTGTCCAGAGACCTAGTAAGGGTTTGGAAAGACCAGAAGGCAAAGATGCAGGCTCCGGGAGAGAAGAAAAGTCGTGATTCTGGAACCAAGAAGGCCACGGATCAGAGCAGAGTAGAGAAACGTCATGGAGGGTCACGGAGAGGCGAGGGGGTGCAATTCCCCTACATGGAGTTTACTTGGTTGTTTGTAGTTAGTGCTTCAACTTGTTGCTATTTTTTTGGTTCTCTACTCGATAGCTCTCTTCATTTCCACGGTGGGATATCCTCCTGTACTTAGTGAAAGAACCTCCCAACTAGGCATTCATATTGCCCGTTTGGGCAACCTCGACGATTTCTCAATGCATGATTCAAACCGCCCTGCTGGGCAACTGCAAGGACACCAGTACGTAACACGATATTCAGCCAGGATTGGGGTTCGTAGCGCGACGTGCCCTGCGAAGACGCCTTTCCGACGGTCTCTCTCGGCAGTTGAGGTAGAAGGAAGATTAAAATCTGGGTTGGGCAGGCCGTGCTGGGAGATGTTTGGGGAGGTTCGTGGGGACTTGTGGCGAGGGTTGGCTGCTATTTGTATTTGTAAGTATAAGAGTTACCTTATTAGGAGAGGAAGTCACTTACAAAAAGGTGTTCAGGTAATCCTCGCTTCTTTCACCACCAAGGTGTTTAAACGTCGAAACGAACCTGTTGAAGGCCAGGACAAGTTCCTCCGGAGGCTCCGGAGAGAGGGAAATTTTGTTGAAGGCTAGGGCAAGATCGTCCGGAGGCTCCATTTGGGAGAGGGAAATCCGGAGCTTGCCTCCTAAGATGGGGTTGGAAGGAAGAGGAGTAGGGTACCTTGTATCGCTAAGGTAGGCGTTCCTTGTCTTGAATCGAGCATCCTCTCCACAGACCTGGCAAAACCAAGACGCTCTTGCAACCAATCGGACCGTCCATTGTTTATCCTCCCGGCCATCTCACCATACATGTAGCCACTCTGTTACCCCAGCCCGCTTCCCTGGCCTGTAAGCACCCGTGGCTTGCCTGCTTGCTCAAGCCAATCGCATATTATCTGAGCCCATCGGGTTCCAAGATTTGCAAAGAAGAACCGAGACTCAACGTTGTCCCGGCTTAACTGGGCCAGGATCTCCTTAGCGTGGTCGAGATCAGCGTCACCAGACCTATCAGCAAGTGACGCCTTGATTTCAGCCATCGAGAGGAGACAAACCACGTTGGGAAATCCTTCCCATTTCACCAGACATCCCCGGCACGCCAAATATGCACGTTGCCAGTATGACAGCGCCTGTATCATGCCGAATTGAGGCTTGTGTCGCCGTTTGACGTGACCAATGATCGCAAGCCCTAGACAGACACGAAAGAAGTTGCGTCTCATGCCTTTCCCAGATGGTGCAAGGTCCTGGTACTCGTCGGAAAGACTGTGGAAGATTTCGTTTGCCGAGTCAAAGAAACCATCGGATCTAAAGGCCGGCGTCGTAGCGAGTTTGTCTAATCCTTGGGCAAGGCGGACCTCTGCTCTCGCCAGTCGAAGAAGGCGCTGTTGCTTCTGTGTCCGCGGCTCCGTTTGGTCCAAAATAGCCTGTGCCTTGTCCCAAAAGCCAAGCTCCCCATACACAACTGCTAAATGAAGACGTGCAGGGAATTGTATCCGAGGCGCAGGATATTGACTTGCAAGTGGCTCAAGATACCGACTTGCTGATCCGAAATCGCCTTGAAACCGGCAAAGCTTCCCCTTCATGAAGTCGACCCGAGAAGAGATGACGGCCTCAATACTTGAAGGCTGTGCTACATTTTGGGGGGCCCATTGTTGTAGTGGTTGCCATGCAAGAGATATATGACCGTCTTCAATTCGTTGTTGTGATTGAAGGAGCAAGAACTCTCCAAATAAAGCATGCCCTTTCCGGCCAGGGATCTGTGGGAGAGTAGGAAGTATCGTGTCCCTTGTGCCCCCGCTTGGCGCTTGGAGGGAGAGTGCCATTTGACGTAATCTGATGCTTATATCGAGGTCGGCAGATGGTTGCGCCATCCGCCCTAGAAGGGTAGTTGCAATCAAGAGCATAGATTGTTTGCTCTCAAGGTCACCGAAATGCGAGGCCGAGATGTAGACTTCAACCGCCCGTGGCAGCTCCCTTTCCTGGAGTGTTTGAATTGGAGCATGCCGAAGGGATTTAAGGAATGGGAAGACGAGAGAGCCTTTTTCGACATAACTTTAATAAAATTAATATTTTAATTTAAAATTAGATAGAAGTTTCTTTATCTAGAGTACTTACTTCGTATCAAGGTTAGGGATAGGGAAATAGTGAAGTATTAGCCGTAATGCTTCAAGTTCTCTTTGAGAGCGAGCTTGTTGTAAAGCAAGGTCACTCTGAATAAATGCTTGCGAAGTACCAGGGAGTGCGAAGTCACGATAAGCCCACCAGGGGCCTTCATCTTCTGGCGTTGTCGAGCCGATCGTTACCAGAAGTGCGCTAGAATTGACTGCATCCTGAATTGCTTTGTCGAGACGATCCTGGCTCTCGAATACCAGGGGATACTGAAATGATCGCTCAAACGCCTCGTTTCCATTCTCATTCCAGACTCGGAAGGGATGGAATACCCGAAAAAGTACGTCCCCTGGTACAGGCTGTGGCTCCAAACAGGCAAGCAGCTGGAGCAAGGATTTGCAGTCTTCGGAGACAGCGGGGCAAGTCCGTGAATGCCGTTGAAGGGATGTCTGTACCTGGTACGCTTTGCCGCAATAGCAGCGCCATGGAGGGGTGAAATTATCGGCCTGCATCTTTCTCAAGTTCATGCGGCTGTCGCTCGGAAGTGAAAGGTGCGGGGTTGCGGCCAAATCCTGCGCAGAGCGGCGCAGCCAATGCCGGCTCACTAGCCCAGTTCGGCTAGCGTCAAGCAAAAGGTACATTTGTGGAAGTACCTGTCCCACACCTGATGTGCCGCCCCTGCTAAAGGCCTCTTGGCATGCACTTCCCTCCTTGGGTGTGCAAGGTGGGAGAAGCGCCGAGAAGCCAGGCAGACTTGCGAGGATATCAGCAGCGAAGGGCATGGCGAAGGGTACTTGAGGTAAATACTGCTCTACTTAAAGCAGCCGGCTTCTAGTTAGGGCTATCTCGACGTTGTACTCAAACTTGCAGCAGACAACCCGAGGTGTCAAACACCAATGGACAAACCCCTTACCCTCTATAGGGAACCAAGTGTCCCTGATCACATCGTCATAGAACTTTCTCGCAACCTTAAAAGTCAAGGGTTGACCGGCAGTTTCTGGGTATACCCCGGGAACCTGCCTCTAAAAAAACCTTCGGACCAGGTTCGGATGTACCAAGAACAGGCTGAGGGCTCGTCAACCACAGCATTGCTACAAGTCCTGCTCTGTCCTTATGTAATATCCTCTAAATCAACTGACTTAGTTGCTCCTATACTAATTGAAGCAGTTTTATCGACCCCTCGAAGAAGACGAGGTAGACGTGGTTGAAAGGAATACGGGCAAGAAGGTTTAGCTTAGGGAGGGGCAAGCGATGTTTGTTAAGATCAGCGTTGTTTCGGGGGGAGAATGGGCACTGGCGAGGGGAGAATGGGCATGACAAGGAGAGAATGGGCACGGGACACTCCGAGGACCTGCATGCTCATTCTTAACCCATGTCGGGGCAGACACACTTCCCCAGCCCCTGTCAGGGCAGGCACCCTCCCACACAATCCGCGCAGCTCTAGTCCAATCGGATGGATTTGCTTGAATAACGTCGTGACCCGGCTGAGTATGGCCCGTCCTGAGCAGCGCGGGATGCTTCGCACCAACGCATGTGCGAGGGAATGGATGGGAACTCATTGATGCTGGTGTTAACGGCCTTGATCTCGCTTGAACGGCTCCACGGAACACACGGAGGATGATATGGAACTGGACCTACACACATCTGCATGGGGCTGTCTTCATCACTTCGCCGAGATCCTTGGGTCTGAGGGAGACGTGCAGGGCCGGCTTGGCACGTACTGTCAAATGGCTAATTCCCTCTCTTTCCTGCGTTACTCAAAAAGGGGTTAACGTTCAGTCACTCCCACACTGTTATCTGGCGTTGGCCAACAACATCCTCGAGATTCCAGCAGCTGGAGGATTATTATTAGAGGGCAAGGGGTGGCGAGGGATCATGGGTCACCAAGAAATATGGCCCCAGTTTCATGAGGCTCTTCAAACACGCATGGGAGGCGTCGAGTGTAATGGTCGCTGCGGCATTGGAGGAGATAGAGAAGCAGGTGTAGAGGCAATTAGATGGAGCTGCTTGAACAACGTCGTGACCCCTGCGGTTCCCACCGTCGCCCTTCTCCTTTATCCTGTCCTGCCTTTGCCTGGGAAGTGAATTAAACAGTTGCCCAATTGCTAATGCCCAGGATCTAGAGTGGCTGGCAACTCTGCGTGCGTGGCGCAACCCGTGCTGCTGCTGTCATAGCCATCGAGGAATCCGAGGAGGGCAAAAAATAATAGATCCAGGGCGAGTCATGCAACGGGTGATAGTGGGCAGCAACTCCATGTCCAACGGCGGAAAGACCCGGCTTGCCGAACCCGTACCCGGCGGTGGCGGCCATGGCCACATCAGCCAGTGTGCTTGCGTCACAGCTTGAGGTGGACGCGGTCGACGAATATTTGAGCGTGGCCGGGTGAGGCAACGTCGAACAGTACGCGGTCGGGATCGGCAGCCCGGTGCTCGGTGTGTTCGACAGCGGCCGTGATTGTGTCCTGCGGCAGCGGAGGGTAGAGTCCCGACACGACACGCAGGACTAGACGGTCAGGGGGCTGTACCCCACGGGACCCCGTTTACCTGTGGCGCTCTTGCCTGCGGTACTTGCTGGTGCTAGATGGAGGTGTCCAATGGGGGTTGGCATTGTACTCGTGCTGGCTGGCGAGGGCGTGCTCGAGCTGCTTGCGCTGTATGCTGTTCGCTAAGTTGGTGTGCTATTCGATGTCGTGCTTGGGGATAGGCAAGGAAGACGACACGATGTATGTAGCAAGCGCTCCCTCCACCACGGCCAACAACGTCATGTCTTCTCATTGAGCCGAGGATAAGAATTGGACGGAAATTGGAAATTGGCCAGGGAGAAGCAGCCGACTAAGCAGAAAAGACCAACGAGGACTTTTGGAGGGATCCATTCCATGGTTGGGGCAAACCGATGGCGGGGGCTGCCCGGGCAAGTTATGGTGACGGTGGCACGATTGTGGTTGGGAATGTTCACTGAGTAAAACCAATGGAAGCTGGTCTTACCCCGTGCATTTCCGCAGCCTGTGAGCAGGCGGTGAGACTGCCGCCCCTGGCTATAAAATGTTGAGGCCTTGACTTTGTTGAATAATGTTGAACTTCAGGGGAAGGGAAAAAAGAGCAGCAGTGTTAGTGTTGCCGATTGAGTTTTGCTTATGTATACGTAACGTTGGTCAGAGGTGCAGCCATCGTCGGGACTGGTACGATCGGTGGAGTGGATCGGTCGAGGAGTTTGATGCAGATGAGAGGTGATGACTGATGACTGCCGGTCGATGCCTTTGTTAGCAATGGCCTGATTGCGTTGTAATCCGCGTATGGCGGCATGTACCGTCAATTGTGCTTTACAGAGAGCTGATTAGCAGCGCCGTTGGTTATGCACGGGAACTGTGAGAAGGAAATGGGTTGCAGTGTCCGAGCGGAAATTAGAGGGAGGTTGGATGCGAGGCCTGTTCATTTGGTCGCTTTTAAAGTGCATTGCTCAAGGAGGTTGTGACGGCCCGGTTTATCCGCTGGAGGTCCTCCCGCGGCGAGGGTCATCCGGGCCAAGCCCGGGTGGGGCCGCAAAGAGCCTCCCGTGCCGAACAAAGCCAGGACGCGGAACTGGCATGCCAAGCCCCGCTTTGAGCACGTCGGAGAAAATAATTGACGCCGAGATGGGAGACGTACCTGCCGGTCAGGCGGTTTTCGAGGAAGTTCTGCATAGTCTGTATAGGACCCTTGAGAGTGGAAGATCGAAAGTGTAGGGGGACAAGAGAGATGATCAGGAAAGCACTGGGTCTGCCAGCGGGCTTAAAAATGCATTAAGATTAGAATTTCTCCCAGAGTCACCAACCTCCGACTTCATAAGCCGGGGTTCTCGTTGGTTCATTCAGTAGCAAAGGAATTCAACACCAATCATCGTATATGTGGCTTAGCCGAGGAAGGCCTGCCGCCTTAGCCGCCGAGCCGGACGAGTCGGAGGCGGTGAGCACTCCCGAAGTGAAACACGATGATGTGCCGAGCTGGTTTGCTGACTTCACGAAGAAGGGAGCAGCATCTGTATAGCGCTACAACTCTTGCGCTTCAGCGGGGTAGGAATGGTTGGAGTTGTCTTTGTCAAGACGAGGCATCGTTCATTTGTGTTGCGATGCAGGGAAGGAGAGGGTCATGCAGATGTGTTGATACGATGCAACTGATGATGATGTTGGGAGGAAGATGGCCGCAGTGGCTGGAAGTCTGGCCCAGCCGCATATACAAAGCACTTTACACTCGTATCCATACTCTTTTCATCGAGTACTTCAGCGATCAGCGTCTTGCATTTCGGTTTAATAGCGACCTAAACAGTGTCTATTTATTTTGGAGTATTTCCAATGACGAACACCCCCGACAATCAGGCCTCTATCGTGGTACTCCCATGATTGCTATTCGAGAGATTGGCGAGAGTCTTGGCCACGAGGCCCATACAATAGCATCTTTCGGTTTTCCAATGATCGATTCCTGCAACCTAGAATTGGTACTCTATCTATTTCGAGGGGACTACCATGAGAAGTGCTTCCAGTCCGACCTAACAGACTTCACCTTTCGTTTACTCCCAAATGCTCAGATGTCTGGGTTCCGCGACTGGATGTAAGTTACAGGTGTCTCCCCTCTCTATGCCGGCCCGCAAGGTCGCGATGCGGAAGCCCGGTTTCTGGATATACCACTCCCGTTTGGAGCCGTCGAGCACGGCGAGCCGGCGGTCTCATGGCATGACAAGAGCCTTGCAACCCGCGATTCGTCGGCTCTCGAACGACACGCGGAGACCGCACTGCGCCCCTCCCGAGAACAACAACACCTCAAAATCTTGTCCATCTTGTATTAGTCGGGCCCGATCTGATGAGAATCGTAAAAACTCTCTGAAGAGCAGATGTAATTCCCTATATGTAAACCTTTAATTAACAAGGCGATCAAATTCCAGAATATATATGGCCAGGCCGTGATTTATTATTATTATTATTAATCTTACACCGCAAAGGCTTATGCCTCGCTCAGCTAGAGCAAGCGGTCCCTCCTCGTTGCTTTACATGCAATGCAACCTCTCACGTGCTGCGCCTTCACAGCGCAAGCGCTGTGTAGGCGTTCCCTGTATACCCTCATATCCAACAGTCCGGAACTCATCCTTCCGGCTTGGTGACGACGGTGCTGTGGGTGGCCATCCCGGCCTTGTGCGTCACTCTAGCGCGCAGCGTGGGCTGCGCGCCGATGGCTTTGGCTCAGCGCTTAGAGCCCTATGCGTCTCCCCCTCCTCCTCCTCCTGTTGGCCTCTCCTAGGTCCTCCGTCTCCCTGTCTGGCCCTGGATTCCCCTCCTCCTCCTGTTCTAGTTCCATCGCAAGCCGGTATTCCTGTAGCCGTCCGAGTCTCATGAGCCATGCCACAACCCGCGCTGCCTCTGAGCAGCGCTCTAGCGCCTCTACCAGGGCGTGTCTGTCCCTAAGCTGCGGTCTCCCCTCCTCGAGCTCCCGGTCCGGGCACCTAAGCACCAGGTGAGCCACCGTCTCTGGTGCTTCCCCGCAGCGGCATAACGGCGTGGGTATTCCAGGGACTCGCCTCCTGAAGAGAAACTCCCTGAGGCCTATTGCTCCTGTGCGAGCCTGTGTCAGGAGTGAGCTCCTTGCCTTGTTTAGTCCTTCGTGGGCTGCCAGCGGTCGTGCGGGGGGGTCGAGGCTGTAGAGGTCGGCTGCCGGCCGTGATTTATTTTCGACGTTCCAAGTGACATATCCTTGGTGTGGGCACATAGAAAGGCAAAAATGAGTCAGCAGCTCCGAGCGGAGCAGAAGGTATTGATAAAGATCCCTCTTCGCATCAGACGACACCGTCCCCCGGACAGCTGCAAGTTGAATCGCTTTTGTTCACCATTAACCTCGCGCCGAGGACCAGATGGCGTCGGAGTCTGTAGGGGGCGCCCGGAGGTGTCTTGCATCGAGGTGCCTTGCATTGAGATGTCCAGCCCGCTTCGGAACGAGATAGCTTGGCAGCACAGGAGTGGTCTGCATGCGATTCGGGCCAGTTCATGCAGAGGAGAAAACTCCGTATCATTATCAACGCTTCCTTCAACCAAAAGTGGATTATGCTTTTATCGAGCCCCATTGCGCCGGATTCCTTGCTTACGGAGGCGCTCGCAGGTGTCGTATCCATCCGAATAGACATCGGCACAGTCCGCTCACGGGCACTCCTCCGGCAAGGCTATTCCAGTAGCTGGGTCCATATGTAATGCATCGGCTTGGGACGTGGTCAGAGGTCCTTCCTAAGCCCTCGATTGCTTGCGGACCGACTGTCTCAGTAACCCCTGGCTGCTCACGCCGATGGCCCAAGCGGACCCAGAACACCGTCATCCGTTAGCCGCAGTACAGTGAGTACGGATGTGTGCAGATATCCATACGTACTTCACGCGACATTCACGCAGCAGGGCATTTGTGAGCTTAATGAAAGATGCATTTCTGCAGATGATCTGGAGCAGGGTGCATTGCTGCCTGCCAGCCTGCATGCATGTGAAAACATGCATGTCCAGCTCCGAACAGCCATCTTAGCCTCTTGTGAAGCTAAGGGAAGGCTGTCCTTGCGTGAATGACATCGTGTAGGTACTATACCTAGTGACCTTCACGTCCCGTACTTACCAGTCGACACGGAAGTCAAGTTGTGCACTTGTTTGCACACCTGTCGGGCACCACCTCGCTGGGAGGTGAGTCCTATGCAGGGTGACAAGGCAACCAAGGGAGAGTTGACCAGTTTGACGAACTCCCCCCTCCTCCCTCTTCTCGGTCGGAGGGTGCAGGAAGATGCATGAATCGCAAAAGACGGCGGGCTGCTGTTGGTAGATCCTCAGCCACCGCCCTTGCTGGAGGAAGGCTCTCGCGCACATGTCCGTCGAGTGTGAGCTGGTCTGCGGCCTGCAAATGAAAATGGTCACTGCCAGCGTGTTGGAATACCTTGAGTATTACTGAGGTGTATAAAGAGCCGTGTGCCGGACGCTCAACCTGGTCATCACATCCCCCTCTCTTCACCAAAGTCTCCAATCTTCAGACACCTGCAACAGCCGCCTTTGCGAAAGACAGCACCATGGCTTGTGGCTGCCAGCGCATCACTGCCACCAAGAAGTACGCGAATTGTACCGCATCACCGAAACACATTGTCAAGGAAATCAGGTTTGTCAGCTGCAGTGATGTTGGCGGCTTGAGCTGCACCGGTTACGAGGACGTCAGCATGGCGATGGGCACGATCCGAACGCCCGGCAGCATCTGTCCTAAATGTTAGGTTCTAGGGCTTCATGCGTATGCGCCGCAGTAATGTTGCCTGATGTTTGTGGATGCTGATAAGAATCTAGGTCGAATCACCTCCAGGGTGATCGAGGGAGGCCCCAGACTCATGGCAGGGCCAGACTCATGGCAGGGCAGGGGGTTGACCAGGAGAAACTTGATGTGTGATTGGGTGCTGTAGCCGCAGTGCGCCCCTGATTGGGTGCGACAATTTATTCTTGGTTCTTGAAGCCACCGGCCGCCTTTTGTCTCCATTCCGTACGTGCTGCTCAAACACTCCCCTGATTGGCTCAGCCAGAGCTGTTGTGCATGCATGTACCATATAGATGTCCTTCCCTTTCCTATTAAAAGGCATAGATTTAACGCTAAGATGCATAACCCTTGTGACGCCCCCGCCATCCCTCTTCCTCCCACCAACCGAACCCGAATCTGCCGCCCACGCCTTCACATTCATCACGACACTTTCGTAGCCCACCATGACCAATAGGGGCGAGTATGACGACCACACAACCGTTCGCCATTATTACCAATACTTCCCCCCGGGTGTGAAGCGCGTCATTAAGTCCGGAAGCAGTGCCTGGATTGGTGAGGTGGACGATTCCACTGTCTTGAAATATCCCCTGGCCGCCGGTGAGGGCTTGGAGCTTCTCGAGGCCGAGAGAAAGATCCTGGAAGCCATCCCGCCGCATAAGAACGTCTTGGGGTTCAAAGGCTCTGCCGACGCGGGAATCTACCTGGAACGCGCCCCGAACGGCACCGTCGCCGAATACATCCTCAACTCGGGCAAGCCGCTCTCCCTCCAGCAGCGGCTGGCCTGGTGCCGCGAGACCGCCGAGGCAGTTGCCTGGATCCATGCCCACCGCGTCCTCCACTGCGATATCCAGCCCACCAACCTGCTCCTCGACAAAGACCTACACGTCAAGCTCTCCGACTTCCAGGGCAAGCTCCTGGCTGAGGACGGCACAGTGCTCGTCGACGGCTGTAGTATGGAGCCCTACCGCTTCTCGCTACCCCGGGACGACTTCCGCGCCGACGTCAAGACGGACTTGTTCGCGCTAGGGTGCACTGTCTACTTCATCCTCCTGGGCCACACCATCTTCCCAGACATCGGCGACTGGGATGAGGAGGCCTGGGAGAAGGTGGAGGAGAGGCTCGCGAAGAAGAAGTGGCCTCGGGAACAGCAGGTATGCAGGGCCGTTACCGTGAAATGCTGGGAGCAGCAGTACGAATCCACGGAGGAGGTGGTTCGGGATCTCAAGGCTATCGAACGGGAACATGGCGGGGTGTCTACCGCGTCGATGCCGGACTGGGGGCTTGGCGAGCTGGGAGGCGCAGGAGACAACAGGCCGGCAGATGGACCACAGTAGTCTCAGGTCGACACTGTGGGTTGTCTGACAACCTACATGGTGGGGCAGAAGGAGGCTGTTGACTTGGGAGAGAAGGCGGGGGCGCATATGTAGATCTGGTATCCCATTCAGCTAACTTGGCTGTATGATGTTGACGGCGCCGACCCGGCAGCTCTCTCGCAATCCGACGCAGGTGGTGTGGAAATTGCTCGGGTTGTTGCCGGCGGCTTTTCTTACCTGCTTCCCCCAAATTCAGCGACCGTCTCACAACCGACCGCGTGGCACGCCTATCTGTGGCAGGGCGTCGCTTTGTCTGCCTAAGCGCCTGGAAAAATCCTTTGTGCCCGGCCTAAGAACGGTATACCTCCACCTGCCAACAGTAACCCCCACCTCGTAGTTGTGCCAGCGGCAAAACTAGCCCAACTTATCTGGCCAGGCCTGCCAAAAAGCACCTGTAAGAGCCGCCAACCATGAGCCCCTTAGTCTGGCATTACAACCCCAGCACTCGCACCCTTAATTTCCATGCTGTCTTCTTTAGTCGTTTTTCACTCCCGTTTGAAAACAACACTTGGAGGCATCCACAGTGGCCCAGGAGAGACGGGAATGCGCACAGATTCCGTGACCCAGTCATCTGCCGTGACGTACCCTCCGTGCTCTACCGACGACACCCGTCTCCTTTTTCTCATAGGCGTTGACACAAGAAGCAGACTATCGATTGCTAATGTGGCCGGACAGGAGTGAGCAGCCACTGCAGCGTACTCTACGTGTAGGACCTGAGACGAGAATTGCATCGGCATGCCTTCCCCACTCCACCGCCAACACGGCCCGCCCCGCTCCGCACCGGCCCCGATCTGCAATCCCAGCACCCTCACACGTATGTCAGCCGTTTCTGTCCATCCGAATGGCAACCTCTTACTAACATTTACATCTTTAGGGCCGGCCAAGAGACGACCTCGCTATTGTGAACGTGCACCTCACAAGTACACCTTGAAGATGGTAGGCGTCCCTCATTCTCAGTCAGGGCAACGCTTACTCAGAACCAGGAGTTTCTCCATTTCAATCCCGCCCGGTTCCCCGAGCACCCTCCGTTGTGTCGCCTATGCAAACGACCGAGCACAAAGTTCATCACTCGACGTTCGAATCGCAAGGGAAATGCAGGCCGTCCCTTTTACAAGTGCCAGCCTTGTGACAAGTTTCTGTATTTCGCAGACCGCCGAGGCAACCATCCCGACAACCCGCCATGTTACTGCGGCGTTTCGAGTAAGCAACAGTTGGCTGGCAGGGAAGGTCGACATGACACGCTCCATCGCCGCGGAGGCTCTGCCAGGCTGGGTGTCCTGCGAGAGAAGTGTGTCCAGCTCCAATGCCAGCCCTTTAGCCATTTCGGATTGCTCGAGCCGTAGTTTGCCTTTGGGGACCGGCAACTTGATAGCAGGCTGCTCCCAGAAGCGTGCGCCAAGCAGCCGAGAATGCTTATCGGTCCAGTAGGTCGGGAGAACGAAGAGACGTGAACGAGGCTCCCCGCGTATGATGTCGGCGAGCGACCCCGGCTCGGCCGGTGTGGTGAGTGTCGTACAGTGGGGGGCCAAAAGTATCCGAGCACCCCACCTCAATTAAACGCGAACTCAGCGCGTCGCGACCAGTACGGTTTCTTCAACCTTCCACAACTCCGCCAAATGAAGCTCAATTTAGAAGATTTTGCGGGCCAGCTGACAGCAAGCCGCAGCCGGAACCAGGAGTTATCGCCCGGGATTCGTGCCGCAATGTGCACGCTGGTGGCAGCTGGGAAAAGCGAGCGGTTCGTCGCGGGCTTGTTTCGCGTCTCTCCGTCCACGGTACACTACGCCATTGAACACTGGAACAAAAACCACACCTTCGAATCCAAGCCTCGCAAAGGCCGGCCCCAGGCGCTCACTCGAAAGGAAAAGCGGTATATAATCTTGCTTGTCAAACGGAATCGGACTCTCGCTAAAAAGGCGCTCGTGAACGCTACAGGCAAGGTCGTCTCCTATTCTACGATCAAGCGATGCCTCCGCGCCAACAACATGCGCAAGTGGAAGGCAATGAAGCGGATACCCCTTTGCAAGGAGGTAGCAAGGGATAGGTATAATTTCGCATGCGATTGGCTTGAAAATAATGAGGAACTCTTGCAGGTTTGTCGTTCTAAAATTGACCTGGATTTCTTACCCGCTAAGTGTTCCAGACTATGTTCTCAGACGAGTGTTCTTGCCAGAATAGCACCTCCAACCCGACCTCCTGGGTGTTCCGTTTCCCTTCTGAGAAGTTCGATAAGCGTTTCGTAAACCTTCAAAACCATGTGAAGGCGAATATCACTATCATGGTCTGGGGAATGATCTTCAAGGGGGGGCGGAGCGAGCTCATCGTTATGGCCCGTGACGACGATGCTCCTCGGAAGGGGTATACAGCTAGGTCGTATCAAAAGGCCCTCCAAGAAGGTCTCATTCCTCACTACGACGAAACACGGCATTTCCAGCAAGATAACGCAAAGATTCACGTCTGTAAGTCGACCGAGGAGTGGCTCCAATCACGGGGAATCTCATGGATCGAATGGCCTGCACACAGTCCCGATTTAAATTCGATTGAGCACGTCTGGGCTGCTCTTAAGCGGAAGCTAAGGAAGTTGTTCCCTGATCTCTGGGAATTAAAGAATAACACGCTGGATATCAAGTACTTTACCGAGTGTTTGCGGACGGCATGGTGGGCAGTAGAACAGGATTGGATTGACAAGCTGATCGACGGCATGCCACGCCGCTTGGCCGCCGTGAAGAGGGCTAGGGGTTGGTACACAAAATATTAAAGCCCTGCACTTGGCCATCACTCAGATACTATCAGTTTTGCGCTGTGATTTGGTTGTGTGAAGTTATTGTTGGATAAGGAGGGACGATGTAAAATGTGGGAGGTCGGGAAATGCGGGGTGCTCGGATACTTTTGGCCCCCCACTGTGTACGTCGTCCACGCATCTTTGTGTGGTTTGGTTCTGAGCGCGCTCTGAAGGACAGCCCTGTTGTGACGATGGATGCGATGCAAATGCAAATTTCAAAGACAGAGGGACGGCACCAGCAGAGGATGTGGGGGTGTTGGAAGACCAACAGCCACGATTCCACGGTGATCACACAGATGAGAGCTCAGGACAGTGGGTTTTTGGGGTGCTCCAGAGCACCAAGAGGTGATTGATTGAAGATTGTCTCTCTTCATCTCCAGAGGTGGGCATCGCCCTGATCCTGATAAATAGCGCGTTGCCTAGCTCCTCGTTACCCCTCAACAATAGGGCACGGCAACCCAGCTTCCGGGTTTCAAGTCCCATGACCTCCAGCAACCGAGCGTTTCAGGGTGCCACGACTTTCCAACAGGGGGGCTATGAGACGGTTTTTGTAGTGAGACTTGCGCAATATCCGGGGAGTCCTTCGGCAAGGTGGGCATCAACTCAACTCACTTCAACTCAACTCAACTCAACTCAACTCAACTCAACCCAACTTATGCAAAAAAAGGCCCAACTCAACCCAACTTCA